CCCCTCGACAAACAGTATTTATGACGCCACGTGGAGAAACTTCTGCACGTGGTGCTCCAAACACAATCTCAACCCGCTCTCGGTCATGATTCCCAACATTTTGGATTATCTGTTGGAAGGTCTGAACAAGGGCTTATTGCCTAGTACCATCCGCAGGCAGATCGCGGCCCTTTCAACTGTCTTTTCCTGCGATAATTGGGTCCTTTGTCATAACATCCGGCAGCCAGTGCCTTTCTAAAAGGGGCGATTAACTCCAAACCGCCCGTGGTACATCGCTATCCGTCTTGGGACTTACCCAAGGTGTTGCAGGCTTTGACTTCTCCTCCGTTTGAACCTCTTAGTTCTTGTTCTCTTCACTTTCTGTCTTTGAAGGTGGCTTTCCTGGTAGCTATAACGTCGGCCAGGCGGATATCGGAATTGGCCGCACTTTCAGTTAGGGCTGATTTGTGTACCTTTTTCGAGGATAGGATGGTCCTCAGATTGGATCCTTCCTTCATTCCGAAAGTTAATACCTCTTTCCACAGGTCCCAGGAATTAGTTCTTCCCAATTTCTACCCGCATCCTTCATATAGACTGGAATGACAGTGGCATAAATTGGATGTACGCAGGGCTCTGCGTCACTATGTTAAGCGAACCTCGGCTTTTCGCAAATCGGAAGCGTTATTCATGTCCTTTCAACCCCCTGCCATGAGTCGGAAGGTCTCCTCTTCCACCATAGGCAGGTGGATTAGGGCATGCATTTATCGGGCTTATATTTCCCAGTCACTTCCAGTTCCCGCACAAATCACAGCTCACTCGACGTGCAGCGCTGCTGCGTCTGCGTCTTGGTCCACACAAGCTTCGGTTGAGGAGATTTGTAGGGCTGCGACGTGGTCCTCCCCGTCCGCATTTGTTAAACATTACAAGATAGATATTTTTGCAGCAGCGGATGCTGTGTTTGGCAGGCGGGTCCTGCAACAGGTAGTTTCTTCTCAGGGGTCACAAGCCTAGACTCCCCCCCCCATAGGGACATGAGCGGCTTTGGTATGTCCCATCCAGTGTATTCTACACTCACCATGCTGGAGAAGGGGCGTTGTCTTACCTGAACGCCTTTTCTCAGCATGATGATGTAGAATCTACACCCTCCCGTGAGGCAGTCTAGGCAGATGTCTTGATAATTGGAGTCAATGCGCCGGACTTCGTCAAGATGCTTCGCCTCGTCAAAACTGGGAAGACACACCCTGAGGGAGGCGTGGCCAAAGTTCTAACCTAGTCTATCTGAGCAGGAAGGCTGAAATAACCCATCCAGTGGATTCTACATCATCATGCTGAGAAAAGGCGTTCAGGTAAGACAACGCCCCTTCTCTTTCTCAATTCAGTTACATGATTTATATTTTATAAATGGAAGGGAAGCACATTTGGAAAGTAGAAATGAAAACCTGCAGTCCAGCTAATGGATTTAAACAGTCAGAGGGCAGCAAATTGACTTCAGCTTGGATAACCAGTGGTCCATACTTTCCACCATGCTAAGAACCTTTGCATATTAGTCCACAGATGAATAAGGCACTTGGAGGCCCAGAATCGTTAAGTAAAAAAGGACCACTTAAGCCTAGAAGTCTAGCTGTCTGTTCGTTCCCAACACTAAATTGACCAACAATAGAAAGCAAGACACTTCTACAGATCATTGGTTCCACCACTGAATTATTTTTATCATAAGGATTTTTCTTAACACTCAGATGGAATCTACTTTCCTATAACTAAGGCCTCTTTCTCTGTCCTCCAAATTCCTTTTAATGCCTGCAAAAATAACGGTCTCCAAAATCCTGCAATTCCCTTCAAATAAAAGATTGATGTGATGGTTAGACAAATCACACAAGTACTAGTTCCTGAATGGCATATAAGAAAGTTCCCTAGTCTTTCTTCTCACCATCTCTAAACCTGCATTGATTCTGCTGAAGTCTAGCATCACTTTTGCCCTTGTATCTGTTGAGCTTTAACTCTTTTGTTAATATTGTACAATACCCACCTACAATAGTGCCTACAATAACTTTATTTCCAGATATGGCTTTTATTGTAGGTGGCTTTGTTATCACTTTTACTCTTTGCCATGGGGCAAAAGATTTGTGTTTTTCATCTAAAAATGGAAAAATATTTGATTTAACCAGTGCACTATGTGTTTTTTTTAAAAAGGGAATAACTATTGATCTTTTCTAGTTCTCTAATATCCAGAAAGCAAAGAAAGAGGGAAGAGAAAAAAAAATCTTAGGAAGTGCATATAAACTCATATATTAATCAAAGAAAGGTTTTTTTTTTTTTTTTTTTGATAGACAGACTGTTGGAATAGAATAGACAAAGAGTCCCTGTGTATAAATATTAGAATGTAAATCAGTTTCCTTAGCAGTAGAAATAATTGGAAATTAAGTGGTTGCCTGTTCTCTAAATTTCTAACTCGTCCTCCAGTTGTGACTTCCATTAATAAAATATAGAAGTAAATTGCCATTATATAATCACCAATCTCCCAACGTTGTGGTCTTAATTTTTTATGATAATAAAAACACATAATACCTATTTATATTCTTCCCCATGGGAGCCAGTTTGGCATAGTGCAGTGTTTCCCAAACTTGACAATTTTAAGGCATGTGGACTTCAACTCCCAGAATTCTGGGAGTTGAAGTCCTCATGCCTTAAAATTGTCAAGTTTGGGAAACACTGGCGTAGTGGTTAAGTACCAAGCTAGAAATAGAGGACAATAAGTTCTAGTTCAACTTTAGGCACAAAGCCAGGTGGATGACCTTGGGCCAGTCACTGTTTCTCCGTCCTAGGAACTAGGTAATGGCAAACCTTTTCTGAAAAATCTTCCCAAGAAAACTACAGGGACTAGTTCAAGGCAGTTGCCAGGAGTCAAAGCACTAACCCTAACACATACACACCCAATCCCTCCCCCCCCCCCCAAAAAAAATCTCTTTTATACTGTGAAAATCTTGGGCTCTCTGCTTAGTTGTAGCCAGAGTACCAATTGCATTCCCTATTCCTATCTCATTTCTTTTTGTGTATTTTAAGAAAATTGCTTGATGAAGCATTGAAAGTTTACACAATCTTTTGCCATATTAGCATGGGGTTCAGGGGTTGCCACAAAGAAGAGGGTGTCAAGCTATTCTCCAAAGCACCTGAAGGCAGGACGAGAAGCAATGGATGGAAACTGATCAAAGTAAGAAGCAACCTAGAGCTAAGGAGAAACTTCCTGACAGTGAGAACAATTAACCAGTGGAACAACCTGCCTCCAGAAGCGGTGAATGCTCCAACGCTGGAAGTCTTTAAGAAGAGACTGGACAGCCATTTGTCCGAAATGGTATAGGGTTTCCTGCCTGAGCAGGGGGTTGAATTAGATGACCTCCAAGGTCACTTCAAACTTTATCATTATTATTGTTGATGTTGTTGGTTTCATTTTATGTTTAGATACAATAAGAGGAATACCTGGGTATTCTATTGTGGGTAATACCAGTGCATTACATAATAATATATCCTACTCTTCAATCTCCATTGCATTGTATATAAGTAATTACAATATAGTGTTCCAAACGTTTGTGCACGTTCACCCAATTATGCATGAAATAATATGATTTTCGTTTCCATGGTGAAATTATTTCTTTCCTAGAAGAGTAATTTCAGAGTAATAGTACTCCTGAACACCAGTATTGGCCAGATTCACTCAACTGTTGGAGTTTCTGGCCACCTCCTTTTGTTGGGGGATAAAAGGGTAAAGTGCTGCATAAGCTTGAGGCTTGCAGTTGCTTAGGTGCATACTTGTAAAATGGATTACTTTGCTTGACAAATTAAGCCCGGCTTTAAGATCATTTCAGACTAGATGCTGAAGAAGAAAGCATTTCATTTTAGGCATGTTGGGTGGAAGGGTGCAAAATTTTGGAAGCTGCCTTGAAAGTTACTATAGTTAGAGCCAGATCAAAAAGCATGAGGTCAACCAGATGTTGGATGTGTTTCATTACACACAAAGGGGTGCTTATGCATTAATCTTTACATGAAAAGCACTAGATATTACCCATTATATACTACTGACATTTGCCTGTGCCATTCTTCACTAAAATGATACAATCCAAAAGAATATTCCCAGAATACTCAATGAGTCTGATAAAGCCATCTGGAGACCATCTAAGGAAGGAGAGTATAAATGCACATCCAAGCTTCTATGCCTGCCAGAGTGCCATCTACTGCCACTAGCCCTATGAGAAATATTCCACAAGAGGAAGATAGGAATGAGAATGTAGGTCATTTTGCAAAGTCCACCGTTATGCAAAGTCCCTTCATCGTGAAAAAGCTGTCGGTCACCAATGAGCTTGTAAGAGAATGGCCCTTCATTATTTATGGATTTCAAATAGCCACCTTTCCATTACAAAAGTGAAAAACAAAACAAACACGAATTAATCGGAAAATGATTTGTTTCTTAATGCATTTTGATATGGTTTGTTGTGATTTTATTATGTGAATTTTGTAAGCTGTTTTAAAGTTATCAAGCCACGGTACTGTATGTAAACAAGCAGTAGTGTAATTGGTAAGAAATATATACCCAATGGCTGAAGGAAAAGGATTGAAGATTACGTGCCCATATTTTATATTATGAATGCTTGTGTTCAACTTTTTATCGCCACAATTTTTAACTCTTGTGTTTCTGAACAGTGAAATTTCTTTTTAACCTAGTTCTGTTGTTTGAAGGCTAATGTCCCTATCTTTTAGCTCTTGCCTGCATTGACAAGATATCATTTATTTTTGGCTTAGCTTGATACGTTTGTAGGGCACAGTTTATTACTTAACTATAAGTGAAGAATTGCTTTTTCAGCAAGTCATGCTTAAACAAAACCATGAATTGATACAGTGTGAGATGTTATCTATTGAAAGGAAGGCTGATTTACTCCCCTTACTCACTGAAAGGAGGCAATATCAGTTTTCAGTGTGCCATTTTCAAAGACCAAATACTTTAATGTGCACGTGCTTTTCTTTGATTTCAGGAACCTGAAATGTCAGAAGAAAAGAACAAGAGTGAAGCAACAGCAGCTGCACCAAGAAGTGTTGTAGAATTTGCCAGCTCTTCCCCAAAGAGAGTCCGGGAGGATAACAGCCACGTGCCTCTCATTATTCCCGTGTCTGTGCCAGTGAAAAAGCTGGATCAAGACATCACCAGGGAAAAGGGCGAAGATGGGAAGCAGCAGCGGTTCCTACTTAATGATCATGGGATTGCAGACAGCAAGCCTTCTGTGATTGTCACCCGGAGAAGGTCCAATCGTAATTTGAATATGGACACATCAACTCAGGTAAATTTGGGGGCTATATAAATCCTCTGAGCTAGAGATGTTAGTCTTCCTGCATACATTTCCCTTTATGTCAGCAGTCAGCCTTCCCAAGGCAATTCTCTCTTAGTCTTAGGAAACAGGATGAATACTTTAATAGTGGCGCCATTGACTAAAGAGGCTCTTCACTGAATGTGTACAGATAGCAACTGAACATCTGGCTGTCGTAGACAGTTTGCTTTGGTTTCATGTGGGACACAAGAGGTTGGGCTCACTGGCCTGAATTCTTCTTTCTAGCTCTAAATTTCCATGAACATGGATCCTTCCAGCTGTTGGTTGAGGCAACTTATTTGGAGGCTCTCAGGCTGTAGACAATTATTTTGACGTGGTTCAGAAATTGCAATACATTTTTATTGCTGTGCAGTATTTAAATATTCAAGGCTGGGTTGACTTAGTGACAGATTTGTTCCTCTAGTTCTTTCCTCAAGGGGAAAAAGGGAAACAAGGAAGGACTAAGGGGTATTCTCTTTGAGGACTGGAGTTGTATGTATTGGATAATTCGCATTGAAATAATGCATGGATTTTTTTTGAATTTTACACATAGTTTATTTTTGTATGGTTTTTTTTTTGTAAATGTTATATGTTGTAATCACTGAACTTTTCCATGTAAAAAGAATAATAAATGATAAATAGTGGTGAATGACAACTATATCTGTTTTTCAAAGTTTCTTCCCAATAGATTTTCTATTAAAGCTCTTTTTACCATATAATAAATGGATTTTATATGCACGGAATGATACTATTATTTTTACTCCCTTTTCATTATTTAATTTTGGATGGAAGGTAATAGCTTCCTAAAATATTATTAAAAAAATACAGTTTCCAAGAAGAGGGAAGATGGATAAAAATGGCCCATGTAAAAAATACCTTTTTATTCCTTAACTTAATTCAGCTAATGCTGTTTTGCTCATTTAATAATAATAGTAGTAAAGTTGGAAGGGAATGTTACCATTCATGCTTCCTGAAGTTGTAAGTCTGTGCTGTATAAAGCTTGCAACCATTCAGCAAGTTTTAAGCGCTCTTTTTGGAGTAGTTGCATTAAAAAGGGAATTTGAGGTCTTCGACCTCTTTTTTTCTCTTTAAAAGATGCAGTGTAATTTGATAATGTTGCAGCATTAACAGAATAATATTGGCCTAGTTCTGATAGGTAAAGGTTTCCCCAGTCTAGCCGTGTCTGACTCTAGAGGGCAGAAATCCTCTGTTTTTTAGCCGAGGGAGCCAGCATTGTCCAAAGACTCTTACGTGGTCATGTCGCCAGCATGACTACACACTGAGGCTCATGGAACATTGTTACATTCCCACCAAAGTGATACCTATTTATCAACTCACATTTGCATGCTTTCAAACTGCTAGGTGGGCAGGAATTGGGGCAAGTAATGGGAGCTCATCCCATAGCACGGAACTTGGGTCTTAAACCCAGGCTGTCAGCTTTCCAACTGATAAGCCCAGCATCTTTAATTGTAGAGCCATTGTGCCCCGAGTTCTGATAAAACCAACAAAGAAAATGCTAGTATATTTTGGCTGGTTGGTTTACGTGTCCCTTTTCCTGAATAGTTCTTTCATACGCAGTCCTCTATGCCCCTCTATGCTTATTTTTATTTAGTTTGATTTTTAATCCCACCTTTACCAAGCAGGGCAGAAGAAAGAGAAAATCTTCTCCCTTTCGCTTTGCGGGGAAGAGATTTTGGTGAACAGAGGAACATGAGGACAGTTCATTGTTTCAGAGATGCAGGGAAGGTTTTGAGAGATAAAATGTTTTCCTCTGTGAGAAACAAAGTGTCTTTCTTTTTCTATATGTTTATATAGCATGAAGGCGCTGCTCCAAAAGAAGTGGATGGTTTTGCACGGAAGCCAAAACAACGACCAAGACCGGAGCCTCTTTTCATACCCCCCAAAGCTGGCACCTTCATTGCTCCACCAGTCTATTCCAATATCACACCATATCAGAGCCACTTGCGTTCACCTGTCCGTCTGGCTGATCACCCTTCTGACAGGAACTTTGAGCTACCTCCTTATACTCCCCCGCCCATTCTCAGCCCAGTACGAGAGGGCTCAGGACTATATTTCCATGCTTTCCTTTCTGCTACTGGTAGTGTAGTTCCACCTCCAATGACTCCAAAAGCTGCACACAGGACCCTACTCAGATCTAGTAAGTTTCTGGACAGTGTTCTTAGTGGGTTGGGATGGGAGGATTGCCAGGAGTGGATAACAGATAATTGTCATAAATTGGAAAGTTTGTTCAGGCTGAAGTATCTTGGGTTCTGCTTAGCTAGGCTCTCATCATGGCGTTCTCCAGTTACATTACAATTCCCAGGATGATTGGCTGGGAATTCTGGGCATTGCCAGTGCATCTGGAGGGTGCCAGGTCGGAGAAGATTTGTTTATACCATGGTAATTATGTGGAAGCTATAATCAAAATATGACCTTGGTAAGCAGTAGCTTTAAGTTGCTATCTTGTGTTATGTATTGAGATGACAGTTATATATAACTTAGTACATCATCATCAGTCTTTTAGATACATTGGATTATATATTTAGTTAAATGATTTTTTTTTTTTTTTTTTTGTAGACAGTACAGAAGCCACCCCTCCTGTCCTCTCAGTAATGGGAGAGTGCACTCCTGTCAGCATTGAACCGTAAGTATTCAATTGAAAAAATAGAGCCATTGTTCAGGGATAGAGTTGTATTCTTGGTCGTATGAGAAGTCATTTTCCTAAATTAATTCCAGAGAACTTTAGCTTCTGTTAGCCCAGGAAGGAAGGAAGATGTTCTTTTATTCAGTTAGACTTCCCAGCTCAGTTGAAGAGCTGAAATGGGAAGGAAGGGTGTAAACCTGAGGTAAGGGATATGGAGGCCTCAAGATGCTACTTAATTGCAATAGTTTCTGACAATGTGGCCCATGATGAGGATGCTGAGAGTTATATCAGCTGGAGAGTCACCAAATCCCTACTCATAATGTAAATGAATGTATTTGTGTATATGTGTGCACCTAAGGGGGCCAGGATTGTATGGCAAAAATGACTCTGCCTGGCACTGCTTCCCAGACTGTACCTTCCTGCCCAGGGCAATCTGATCCATATGCCAGAAATGATTCTTCTTCGCTATTGTATCTTGAGACAGGCTTTATTAAAGACCTTCATTCACGGAACTATTAAGTTTGAATACCAGACATTATTCATCAGTATGGAGAAGCAGGCAAAATAAAAACTATAGTTCATAGCACCATTTCAATGTAGAGACACTTCCAATTATACAGGTAGTCCTCAAGTTACAATTGTAATGGAGCCTGCCCATTCCATTCATAACTCGAGAATTCGTGGGAGTGAATCTCAGTATGAAGTCAGAACTGAACAAGCTTCTTGGATGAGAAGCAAAATGTTTTCAAGAAAAAACAAAGTCCAGTTGCCTTTTGAAAAAGCACTTTGGGACAATCATGACCTGGATGACTGAGAATCTCCATAGTCATATGTGGATAAGAAATTAACTTTCTATCTTGCAGATATATATATTTTTAAAAAGACATTTTATTTGGTGTTCTAATTAAGCACTGAATCATACACCTGTTTAAATCTCTTACCTTTGATCTGATGCTAAGGGCTTTGAGTAGAGGGAATGACTGAGCCCAGCATTTTTTCTCTCCTGATTTCCCACAGAAATGGATATGCAATTGAGCAAGAATGTAGAATGAATGAAGGTTTTATTAGGAACATAGGCATCTAGGACAGAGTAAGAATAGGGAGTGACACACATGCATCAAGATGTCATGATACAAACCTCACAGTGTACCCTATTTCTATCAGAAGTTGGGATGTGTGTTCATGTTGTCATCTTGACATAATTGCAGTTTAGAGCCTGTGATTAGGAGCCTTAGTCCTGGTCCAACAACAGTATCTGTAGATAGAAACTGTTCTTGAACACTACAGCTGATCGTTCTTAGAGTCTAAAACACTCCCTGAATAATTCCAGGATAATATTGTTAATATTTGTAACCAAGCCACTTTTCAGACTAATAGATTTATCCCTTCTTCTTCAAAATAACTTAGGAACTCAGCATGCGCTATGTTTATTTGTAATATCATATAGCCATATTTGTTTGCAGATGGCAGATTGCAGTCCTGCTACAAATGCGTTTTGAATATACGTCTATGTTATAAGCGTGCATACTCCCACATTCATTTTTATATCTGTTGAGGAAATTCTTTAAATGTCTATGTGTTGCGTATTCCTCTTGTTCTAGCAAGGAGGTTGGGATGTTCTCTTGCTCTTACTGGACTTGTCAAATAGGCAATGGTGATACCTGCCCAAGTCCACTAAATAGATGGAATAGTTTAGCAATGGTTTAAGCTTCAGGCACTAGAGTTGAAGTTAAGTTTGCTATGCAGATTTGACAAGCAGTCCTGTCTTGGACTGGTCCCTTGAATTTTCCATAATTATCACTTAGTATTTTAATAACATATTTAGCAATTATCACATAGCAGATGAGTTGTGTAGAATGATAAAAGCATGTGTGAAGAAATTTGCCATATTTGGGTCTTCTTATATGTAAGTAAATAGATTACATTTGTTTTCTTTATTGAAAGCTTCTGAATTTTTGTTTTCTATTTTTAAAACATTTCTCCTAATTAGCGCGTGTTGGCTTGCTAAGAGTATAAAAGAAGAATCTTTTATTTTGAGGCAGTTGAAATGGTTGAAATAAATCTGGGAACAGATTATTATATCTATTTCACATCATGGTCACCCATGAAACTGTTTCAGCTAAGCAGGCTGTGCTTTGATGTATCACTGTCTTGATATTTATTTACTGTTCAAGGCGGATCAATGTGGGGCCTCGTTTTCAAGCAGAAGTCCCATTGCTTCGAGATCGATCTCTGGCAGCCTCTGATGTGGCCAAGGAGCAGTTGGTGTGGCAGCCCTGGGAGGAACTGGAAAATAATTTGGCAATCCAGGAGAATGGTAAATTTACATACCTATGTCTGAGTGGCCGTGAAAACAAGGAGGGAGGGCCATAGAACATCTAAAAGTCACTGGATAGTCAACCCAGTTGTTGGCCTTTGATTCACTGTAAAGCTTGCACTAAGAGCAAGGTTGGAGAAGACTCCTGCGAGTCCCTTGGACTGCAAGGCGTTCAAACCGGTCAGTCCTAGAAGAGATCAACCCCGACTGCTCTTTAGAAGGCCAGATCCTGAAGCTGAAACTCAAATATTTTGGCCACCTAATGAGAAGGAAGGACTCACTGGAGAAGGGCCTAATGCTGGGAAAGATTGAGGGCAATAGAAGAAGGGGACGACAGAGAATGAGATGGCTGGATGGAGTCACTGAAGCAGTAGGTGTGAACTTAAATGGACTCCAGAAGATGGTAGAGGACAGGAAGACCTGGAGGAACATTGTTCATGGGGTCGCGATAGGTCGGACACAACTTCGCAATTAACAACAACAAGAGCAAGGAACTCTAAATAGGAAATCGCTGTGAAAGCAGAAAATTTGAGAGTAATTGTAACAATTGAAAACTATTATTCTTTGTCGTTTTGTCCCACATTTAAAAAACATTTAACTTTATCAGAAGCACATAAAGTCTGACCAGATTTTTTTTTAAAAGTCAGTCAATCAAAATCAAATTGGGGTCTCCCGCTGGCAGCTTCTCTTTCCTGCAGCTCACCTCCCTCCTCAAACTCTGCTCCATTGTTGAAACTACAGAGAAGATTCTAGATGATTTTTTGGTATAAAAATGAAAAGTAAACTTGTGATTATGTTTGATGACCAGATGGTATGGATTTCAGAAATAAGAGTATTATAATATAAATTTAGAGAGAGGTTAAAATAGATCTGCCGTGAAGAATATTGGAAGCCACTTTCTTTCTTTTCTATTGTTCTTTAACTTTTTTTTCTTTTCTTGCACTTTTTTCTTTGCCTTTGCTTTCTTTTTCTCTCTTTTCCTTATCTTATATTTGTGTTTGTTTTTATCTTCTCTTTAAAAAGCTTTAGTAAAAATTAGACAGACACTGGCAGAGTGTTAAATGAGAAAAAAATTCATGCGGTGTCAGATACTGTCCTCAAATACTAGTAGGCAAATAAAATATTAGCTAAGTTAAACTATTGGGTCATAAAGTCATTAGGTCATAAAGGTGACATGAGTACTAAATTTAACATAATATGATTGACTTGCTTAAAGAGGGGTTGCCTCAAACAGGGCCATGCTTTGTATTTTTTGACCTCTTCTCTTTTGCTGTCCCATATAATACTCATCATCGCAAATCTTAGAAGTAGTATTTATCTCCTGGATCCCAACATTCTAAAGCAAAATCAAAACTGATTGGATATTTTCCTCTTTATTGCCACTGCTTATCCTGTAAGGGATGAAATAACCTGCAGGCATACTTTTCTCATAAAATGGAAGTATTCTTCTGCCCCTGAATGGAATGGGATGGATATGACAATATCATAGTAAAAACCAGGACCACAAGATTAATGCATGTTACTGGGAAACATGAAGGTGGAAATTAACCATGTTGGTCCTTTATGAAATGTTGGTATCCATCAACCCAAGCCAAGATGGCCAGTTAGTCAGAAGTGATGGGCAAATTAGGATCCAGCCACATTGTGAAGACAGTAGGTTCTCAGATAAGAGGTAGTGGGAACCATTAATCATAAAATGATGGGAAGCTTGTCTGTGTGTGCATCAGCCAAATTGTACATATATTGGCTGGTTTTCTTCTTAAATGGATGTTGTTTATTTCATCTATTTCATAACATGATGGAACTTTCTTTTAAATATAATAGTGGACAACCTGGTAACAGCTGCATGTTCAAGTATATTTCCTGGCGGTGGTACCAATCAAGAGCTGGCATTTCACTGCTTACATGAAGCAAAAGGAGACATTGTGGTAAGACTCTAGCAACCTCTGATTGGACTAGAAAGTTTGCTGATAAATATAAAATTCGGATGTCTAGCAAGGACTAACAATATTATATAGCCCAACTAGTTGCTTTGCAAACTTTCATAAGAGGTTTTACTACCCTGTTGTTAATACATTTGTGATAATGCATTCTATCTTTTACCTGTAGCTGATTTGAATGGGGCAAATCAAGAGCTGCTGGCAGCTCTTCTAGGTATCTTCTTCCATTTTCCTTCTGTTGCTCATGATGCATTTGTCTTTAGCCCGTCATAAACTTGCTATTGGTAGTCCCAAAGGTACTTTCCCAAAAGGCAATTGGGATTTTGTTTTTCCTTGAAGACATTTCACTTCTCATCCCAGAAGCTTCTTCAGTTTGAAGACGTCAGTTCCGTAGACATTTGCTATTGGTAGGTCAGCCTTCCCAACCTGATGCCTTCTAGTATTCCTAGCCAGCATATGTAACAGGTTGTGGAAAGTTGCTTTAAGTTAATACTGCAGGGGATATTTCCAAAGCTACACTTTGCTTGACATTTTTTTTAAATAAATGATAATTGGTTGGGTTTATTTAACATGCAAAGCCACAAACTATGTTTTACTAATTGCAGTGACGGTATTCATAGTATAAGCAGAACTGGATAAATGACATTATGGCTTAGCTGTCTTACCCGTCCCATGCTGGAGCAGATCCTTACGTTCAAAATGCTTCTAGTCCACTACTACTACCCCTATTATAGGGCTAGAAAGCCTTTCATCTGAAACCCTGAGGAGCAGCAGTCTGTCAGCATACACAAAATTCAGGTTATCTGTTACCCTCTAAGGCAGTGATGGCAAACCTTTTAGAGATCAAGTGCCCAAAAACTGGCCCACCCCCACTCTGCCCGCCTGCTCCCGCCCTGCTCCGCCCTCACCCCACCCACCCTCAGGGCCATCCATGGCATGCCGCAGATTGCCCAGGCGGCCCTGCAGTGCCATGGTAGCCACGCCCTCCACCCGCACCCCACAGCATCATCTGCCCAGCTGCCATGTGCTTGGCTGTGGACGGGCCGCACCCGGGGGTGACTCTTTGGGTGGGCTGCTGGTGAGGAGGGAGCTATGGGGGGGGAGGTGGGGCTGGGGCGACAGCATGCGTGCCCACAGAGAGGGCTCCGAGTGCCGCCTCTGGCACTAGTGCCATAGATTCGCCACCACTGCTCTAAGATCTGTCTGACTAATATTGGCATGGGATTGGTGTCATCATGGAGAAACTGAATTATAAAATCTGTAATGCAATTGTTTTACTAGAAATAATTAAGGTAGCATATGTAACTTTTGATAATATTCTCAGCGAGAAAAATAGATGTTGGAAATATCCGTAGCTACATTGTGCTTGATTCTGTTGATTTCCTGGAAGGCCTAGAATAATTTTGGCATTTATTTATGTCCTTGCTGTGAAATACTGTTTACTTGGGCATGATTAAACATGGGCGTTAACTGACTCTGCAAAGAATGATGATTTAAGGCCTCTTAAGAGTTTTTGGTTTTCTTTTTTAAATTGTTATTCTTAGGCAAAAAGTTAGCAGGCACCATTATAAAATGAGGTACATAGTTTAGAAATAGATATTTAATTCTTTTTTATATACAGGATTAAACTAAACTAAACCTCAAGAAGAACAAAAGGGAGTAAATGTAATCCTGTACATAAGACTTATTATAGGAATGCTTTTGGATGTCACTGGTAAGGCATAGTTTTCTTGTGACATCATTATATTTAGCAATCCTTACATCAGCAATGCTGGCTGTGGAATTCTGGGAGTTGAAGTCCACATGCCTTAAAATTGTCAAGTTTGGGAAACACTACCTTACATCATCCAAAATGTTACCAAGGAGATTATAGATGATCCTCGTGTAATGACCATCATTCAACAGCTGTTCAAATTTGTGATGGTGCTCAATAAAGGCTACAAATCCTTGTAGTTGCCGTTGTTGCAACACCCCCATGATCATTTGATTGCAACTGGGTTGCTCAATGCCTGGTTCACAGTTATAACATTGCAGCAAGCCACCGTCACGTGATCACAATTTCCGACAGCTTCTCACATGCCAAGTCAAGGAAGTTGGAACATAAAATCCTAAGATAATGACTGTATGATCCTCATGTAGCATTGGCAAACGGGGCCACCAGAACTGCTGGCATTAAGCAATGAATTGTTGTGATGTTGCATTTTTTGACCACGTCCCTTAGCAGTGGCAATTCTGGTTCCATTTGCCATTGTAACCCAAAGACTACCTGTAAAAGGATTCCGTTCTTGAATTTAGCCACACTAGAGCCCATTATTTTAACCTGCTAGAGCAGTTTTATTGTGGGTAATTGTCATTCTTGCTGGATTAATAGGTTAGCTTTTTAAAGCTAGTTTGATTGAAAGTTAATTTAAAGCTAATTTTTCCAAAAAAAAAAGCATAATGTTAAACTTAGTATAGGTAGTCCTCGACTTATGACTACAATTGAGACCAGAATTTCTATTGCTAACAAGACGATTGATAAGTGAGTCATATGCAATTTTGCTACCTTTTTTTGCCACAGTTGTTAAGCGAATCACTGCGGTTGTTAAGTGACTCACATGATTGTTGCTTGAATCTGGCTTCCCCCATTGATTTTGCTTGTCGGAAGCTGATGGGAAGGTCGCACATGACAATCACATGACTGTGGGATGCTACAACCGTTGTAAATATATACGCTGGTTGCCCAGCACCCAAATTTGGATTGCGTGATCATCAGGTTGCTGCAAGGGCCGCAAGTGTGATGATTGGTCATAAGTCACTTTTTTCAGTGCTGTTGTAACTTTGAGTGCTCTCTAAAATAATGGTTGTAAGATGAGGGCTATCTGTAAATCAACGATGGATTGCAGTGGAAGAGAAGAAGGGAAATGGATAATCTCCTGGAGGCTTAGTCTGTTCCTCTCACAATAAACCATGATATATTGCTCAAATGTCTTAATGTTTATATCTGGGAGGATTAGGAATAAAAATTTGAATGGGAATCATTCACGGCCCAAAGACTTTCAGTGGCTTGTGCAAGTTTCTAAAGCAGCAGCTTCGTCAACTTTGGCCCAATAAAGTCCCGATAAGCTTGTTAGCTTTTAACGTGCTGTGTGATTCCTTGTTCTTGTTAAACAGGCTAGGGCTGTGTCACTTACTTATTTCAAAGGCTAGTTGAAAGGATAAATTAGCCAACGGTATTCACTCTGAATCTTACTAATCAGGTAGGCCCTAAACCCTAAATATACACAGCAATTAAACAGTAATGATCAAAGATGATTAGTAAATAGCGAGAGCTTGTTCAAGTTTTATTATTTGAGCTGAATCTGGTTTTGTTTTCCCTTCAGGCTACTTTGACCAAAATGCTGCTGAAGAAATCAGTGCATTCACCGAGCCACCCGCTGGCAGATTACCACTACACTGGTATGCTGCAATAAGATAATAGCCGCAGTTTCTTCTCTCCTTCCCAATTTTAGGCGTAAGAAAATTTTAGAATCACCACCCTGGTAAATTTGAGGAACATTTTTACATACAGGAGATAATTTCTTCATCTTAGGATACTGCTGTTCTCCAATTTAAGCTATGGTTGGCTTTAACGCAGTTTACTTTTAGAAATAATGTTGTAAATACATTTTCTGGTCTACTGTGCACTTGTGCATATATAGGGAAATGTGAAAAGGTGAATCAGGCTATTAATAAATGACAATTTTATGTTTAAGGCATCTTAAGTATAATTGAAATACATTTGTGCATAAAAGTTGTCCCCAACCTGCTGCTTCTGAAGTAGATTGGACTACAACTCCCAGAATTAGTAGTCACATGACTAGGAATTCTGGAACTTGTAGGCCAATATTTCCAGAGAATAGCAAAATTTAGAAAATAGGGTTTAGAGGCATTGGCTGTTTTCGTAATCTCAGCCTGTTTTACACATAGGAAAAAAAACCCATTCCTACTGATGGTTTCATCCCTGCTAAAGAAAAAAAATGGACACAAATTTTGTGGTTTTGAACAGTTCTCTGAAAAGCGAATGAATTTTGAGATCACACTGTAATATTTATGCTTCTCACTTTATCTGATATAACATAGAGGATTACCAAGTTTATCTGTAGCCAGAATCTTTCTGGAAAGAAGATAGTACAGGAAATTAGTTCAACAGTCTGAAAGTTTGGCAACCTGAAGGAGTCTTTGAGGACTTCTGAGGATAAGGAAATCCCTTGACAGCAATCCTTCTGATCTCTGTCAAATCTTAATTCATTTAAATAGGTTTTGTTCACTTTCTCTGTGACAGGTAAAGTGAGAGCATGGGAAGAAAATGTATTGTGGACAGTTGCTGGAAATCCCTCCTAGAACAACTAACCTGAATGTACATTATGTATATTATGTGTCTCTCCCTTCACAGGCTGTAATATTTGACAGAAACAAACCTAAACCTCTCTTAGTTCATAGAAATAATATTTCAAAAACTTCTGGTTTTGCTTACTGATCAGTATATTATTATTTATTTATATGAATTATATACTGGGCAGAACCCATGAGGTGTGACATCTATTTACAGTCATCTAAATGCCAATGAATTAGAGCTGATGATTGGTACAGACTTGCATTGTGACAAATAGAGGAACATGCCATTATAAGCTGTTGGAATTTACCCCAGTGACTCCCCTCCTGCAATCTCTTCACTCTGGCATTTCTGTTAAATACTAACCTCTCACCTGTCTCACCTGTCATGATAGCACTGGCTAATTTGCTCTGTTGTCAGGAAGATTGTTGGGAGATGTGCACAGTCCCTGTGAACTCTTTAAACTTAACACTGATCTGAGGTCACTAAATTTTTGGCAAGGCAGGAGAATGCTCAATGGCATGTGTGACCCTACAAAATGTAGAACAATGCTATCCAATCACAAGAGTTCAGAGCCTTTTGTTTGTGTAGTACAACTTCAGTGGTAAAACCAGATCACCTAAGAACCCATTGTCCTAAAACAGGGGTAGGCAACCTTGGCTCTTTTATGACTCGTGGACTTCAACTCCCAGAATTCCTGAGCCAGCCATGCTGAGGGGAAAGGGAGAGGTTTCCAAGCTGAGCAATGATGGCTCAGGAATTCTGGGAGTTGAAGTCCACGAGTCATAAAAGAGCCAAGGTTGCCTACCCTTGTCCTAAACAGATACTTGTCTTGATTCAAAGTTGGTTATGATTGTGACGAGAAGTTCTTATATCCCTCCATTTCATTCCAAATGTGTTTTTTCTTGGCTCCTTTCTTATGTTGAAAAGCAAAATTAAAGTTTCCCTTGAACTGAGCTTGCCATTTGGACAATCTATGTAGTATGGTGGTGTTGCTAGTAGAATGCCAAAGTGATTTGCTATGACTTCTTTCTGGGGTATTATTTTTTTACTTCCTCATTTGTAAAGCTCTACCCATCAAAGTGTTTTGGATTAGATATATAAAATCCAACCTTGTTTCTATATATTGTCAGTTTATGAATAAGACTTCAGCATTTTGGGTATTCAGACATAATTTTTTTTATTTCATTTAAAATTAACTATCAGATTCCAGTTAAAAACCTTAATTAAAAAGAAGTTTCTGATTTAATCCAAGAATAACTTTAATTGAAGCAGGATAGCTGAAATGTTGGATCTGCCATAACAAAAAATATTTTTGTGTTGGAAAATAAATAGGGTAATGGAATTATATTACACTATCTCTTTTTCCAGGGTCAGACAGCTGGAGTGTGGCTGAGAAGAAACACTTCAATAAGGGAATTGCTATTTATAAGAAAGACTTCTTCCTTGTCCAGAAACTTGTAAGTCTTTTCTCAAGTCCCTAACTCATGGCAAAAGAATTGACCGGCACCAATAGGATATATAAACATGTCTCCTCTAGTTGATTAATTTTGCATGGTTTTGACTAATCACTAGCAAAAAGGGACACTGCTTAAAGTTTACTTGGACGACCTTCCAGTGCAATTTTGGGAAGTGAATGGGACCAATCTCTGGAGCTTCCTTTTCTGTGTGTGGAAATCCAATGGTGTGGCCATTGAACCTAATCTTTAATATTACCTTTATTCTGGAGTCCAATATTAAAATACCGGACTCCAGAATACAGGTCATATTAAAGATTAGATATTAAAATACTACTTGGGGCAGTGATGCTGAAATGTTGATAATTTCAGTGATTTATTTCAGACAGAATAGAAAAAAAATGGAGCCTTGACATAATCTCTTTGCCCTTTTAATGAATGGAGTGAACAAATTGGCAGACTTGTTCTAAAATAGTTAACCATTGTTTCTTCCTCAGAAACAGGAGGTCTAGTTGAAGAATATCTGATTTATATGCTATTTCATGTGAAAGAAGGAATGAAGGAACTCTAAGCTTAGCCAAAAATTAATTCCTTTTTTGCTTTTTGAGCCAAACTATGAACATCCATATGTTCATCCAGAACCATTTCACAGCTGCCCTCAAATTATATGCCTAATATATTGCAAAACAGAGATGAACAACTATAATTGCTTCAGTGGTTGCATCAGATTTCTTTATTTAGAATTTAGGTTTTCATAATCAAAGCTGTATTAATCCAGCAAAGCATTCAGCTGCCACCACAGTCTGAAAAGGCCCACTCTAGTTTGCTTAAAAGTGTACTTCAGAGTCTCTCATTTTTCATGTGTAGCAACTGACAAGTGGCCTTTGAAACCCAGAGATCAATTTCCACAGTATTTAGTCTCAGATTTATTGCACATATACCAACCTTCAGGACAATAGGTCTGGATAGTAGCCAGGAGTTTTGAAGCTCATGAATATACCCAGAGAATTTGTGTGCAGTATAATTGGTTTTTGTGTTGAAATTTGACCTGTTTGATTGGTAAACAACTCAGTGATTCCCTAATAGAGTAGATTATAATTCCAATTCCTGTAATCACATTGGCGGTTTTCTCCTATAGGATTCCAGCCTACTCAAGGACTTCTGAGTCATAAAATTACCATCTAATTATACATGAGGTGCCCAGTTGCAACAGAGAAATTCAGAAAGGAATATATAAAGTAATATAGAATAATAGGTTTATTATTAAGAAATTAGATTATTTGAAATTTTAAGATATAAAAGAAAGAAAGTATTTCTGGATTGGCTAATAACTTCCACTTGGCTCTGTGATGGCTTTTGGTTAAACTCAGGACTATCCCAGGACCAATCAACTGAAAATTTTTCAACCATCACAATACAATACAGTCTATTGGTGTTTGTGATCTCAATCCATGCATCCCATTGTGGAATCAAGCGAATGGTCACTTATTTTACCCTTATCTCGGAACTATCCAAACTGGTCTTTTCTATTTTTATTTTGATGATGTTTGTATATAATGCTGGGTTTTAGACAGTAAAAAGCATGTCTTGTATTTCCCTTTTAATGCACTAATCTTAAGCTGCTGCCCTATTCTGCTATGATCTAATTTGCCTTCAGCTTCTGTTGTAAAAAATGTCCATGGAACGCTTTAGATTTCCAGTTTTCTAGTCTCGTGTCAAGCTGTTTTTGTATAGTCAGGTTTAGATTCTATTTCTGCCAATGCCCCATTTTTTTCTGAGATTCTTTCAGTAACATTTCTTTACTAGCAATAGGCCTTGTAATCATTTGGAATTCTCTGATTCCTTTCCTTGTCTCTTCCTTTGTTTCTCCATCTCACAATACTGAAGATAAAAACCAAGACTGTGGCTCAGTGTGTGGAATTCTACTATACTTACAAAAAACAAGTCAAAATAGGCCGGAATGGGACTCTCATCTTTGGGGATGTTGACACTACTACTGAAAGAGCTGTTAAAGATGAAGCTGAAGTAGATATAAAGGTAACAGATATCTTTGGGTACTAAAAATTATGCTAGACCTCATAGATGGCAAGCAAAGGCATGGAACTTGAAACAGGCATTTTCTATTGCTGCGAATTACTATGCATGTATAAAAAGAAATATTCAGAGAAAATGGGAAAATTGCAGAGTTCTGCTTAAATCTCATTGGCAGGAACTATTAGAATAGTGATGAATGTGTCAGCTTTACTACGTAGACCAGACAAGAAACATGATCAAATAAGCTAGCTCTATTTTATTGTCAAGCTACATTAACAGAATTTTGTAAGTCTGAGGTCACTTTTACAGCTTGGACACGGGCAGGGTATCTTCTGGATCTGTTGTTCCAACCACTATGTAATTGCAGACTTTGCTCTCCTTTAGCTGACCGTTCCCCTAGGAATCATCTCTTTGCCCTGTCCCCAAAGTTCACTCCCACTTACCATTACAGAATGAGCGCCCTATTGGATTCATATATATTTCTAATCTGTGCTGAAGTGATTATTTTTAATATGCATTCCTTTTTTACTCTTCTGAAGAGTTCCCATAGGCTTACACGTACTCTTCCTCCCAGAACATATAACGAAGACTATGAAAACACTGAAGATGAGGATCTTGAAGAAGTTGAGGAAGACATGTCAATTAAAGAGGAAGCAGTGGAAGGGGACGAGTTGTATGGCAAAAACAGCAATTTGGCGCCTTCCAAATCAACTCCTCTTCGAGAGGTTGAGGAACAAGTAAGTGTCAAATGAACCACAGTCAACAATTTCTGCCTGGAGCGTTTCTTATAAAACATCTGACCGGTTTTAGCGGAATCAATGTAATTTTTGTCCTTAGTTAACATCACTAGTGACATAAATTATTCATTATATGAATAATTGTTTGGCAGTTGCCTGATGCCTTCAGTCAAGAAAGATGAGTTTAGAAGTGTAGATACAGGTAGTCCTCTGGTTACAACACTATAGTAGTAGTAGTAGTAGTAGTAGTAGTAGTAGTAGTAGTAGTAGTAGTAGTAATAATAATAATAATAATAATAATAATAAAGTTGGAAAGGATCTTGGAAGTCATCTAGTCCAACCCCCTGCTCAGGCAGGAAACCCTATACCATTTTGGACAAATGGCTGTCCAGTCTCTTCTTAAAAACTTCCAGTGTTGGAGCATTCACCACTTCTGGAGGCAGGTTGTTCCACTGGTTAATTGTTCTGTCAGGAAGTTTCCCCTTAGTTCTAGGTTGCTTCTCTCCTTGATTAGTTTCCATCCGTTGCTTCTTGTCCTGCCTTCAGGCGCTTTGGAAAATAGCTTGACTCCCTCTTCTTTGTGGCAGCCCCGGAGATATTGGAACACGGCTATCATGTCCCTCTCGTCCTTCTCTTCATTAAACTAGACATACCCAATTCCAGCAACCATTCCTTATATATTTTAGCCTCCAGTCCCCTAATCATCTTTGTTGCTCTTCTCTGTACTCTTTCTAGAGTCTCAACAGTTGTTCAACAACTGTTCAAAGTTATGATGGTGCTGAACGAGGGGGACGTAGGACAAGCCCCTGTAGTCATTACAATTGAGATCTGGACTCTTGGTTCCTGGCTTGTGATTACAATATTACAGCAAGCTGTGGTCACATAATCACAATTTTTAATGTTCCTTGACTGGCTTCCCACAAACAAAGTCAAAGTGGAAGCTGGTAGGAAGTTGGAAATTGTGATCACACGAGGTCCTCACTTAATGACTTGCCTGGTCCTCACTAACAATGGCTACCTGTAAACTACTGAAAGTGCCGCTGCTACACAATACAGACACATGACATTGCACTTTATGATAGTATCACTTGATGATAAAGAGTTTCCAGCCTCACTTGTCATTGTAAGAAGAGGATTACCTGTATGTAATATTTTTAATCAGCAAAGTAGTTGTAACAGCCCCCCCCCCCCGCCCAGTATTCTTAAAATACAGTTTGGGTCTTTTTATGGATTTTTTTCAAGGTTATTGAACCTGAATTTCCAGTCAGTTGGAGAAACTGTGTACTTGAAAACTTTCAGAACATTTATTTTGCCATCTGGTGGTCTTAATGATACTTTGTGTAATATTCATTTTATGTTTTCATACCTTTTCTCAAGGGAGCTTATGGCAGAATACTTTTGGCTTTGAAATGTTTCTTTTAATATAATGTGATGTGTATATAGGAGATGGGTAGTCTCCTTGTTTACTTAACTTTATAGGTCAATATTGCTTTCGTAATTTGTACTTAAAATACACTGTGAGGAAAATGCATCTATCTGTATGCTGCTATAGTATGATTCTCACGGGTTTTGCAAAAACAAAAACAACCCAAACCCATTGTTTAATGTTTTAAGAAGCCTCAAGAAAAACTCCAAGAGGAACTCAAAATATTCATAGCTTATTTAAGACATGATTAAAAAACACTCAGTCTGTAATGTATTGAACCCATGAAGTCTGAATTTTTAGCTTAATAAAAATAACAATTGTATCAATGCTTTAATCACACCAAATGTTTTCTGATCATTGTTAAGTTTTTTGAAACCAGCTGGGTGACTTTGGGCCAGTCACTTTCTCTCAACCCAACTCACCTCACAGAGTTGTTGTGGGAAAAATAGGAGGAAAGAGTTATTAGGTTTGTTTGGCACCTTGATTTATTTTGTTGTAGTAGTAGCAGTAGCAGTAGCAATAATAATAATAATAATAATAATAATAATAATAATAGTAATAGTAATAGTAATAATAATAAAAAGACCTACAAATAGAAATAGAAAGACTGTGGCAAAAGCAAGCAAGGGTAGTACCAATAGTCATAGGCTCCTTGGGTGCAATCCCAAAACAACTGGAGCACCACTTGAACACCATTGGCATTGACAAATTCGCTATTAGTCAATTGCAAAAGGCGGCCTTAGTAGGAACTGCTTCCATCCTGCGACGATATCTGTAATACCATAAAACATCCACATCTGCCTATCCCAGGTCCTGGGTAAGGACTCGATAGGTAGACAAAATGCCAAATCCAGTCTGAACATCTGGCTGACTGTGCGATGATCGATAATAATAATAATAGGATTTAAATAAAATAAATTAATACATCTATTCCATAGAAATATTTTTACATCTTTTAATAATGGTGTCTTATTCTGAAGGCTAGTAATCTCCATATGGAAAAACATCTGGAATCTGGTGCCCCAGGAAGAACAGAAGTCAGAGGCAGAACTTCAAGAAGGACAAAGGAAGCACCCATTAAATATCGGAAGACTTCGCCACCAGTGCAAAAGAGAAGGAGAAAACCGAAACCCAAACAAGACACGGCCAACAAAACCCAGAATCAAGAGGAGGAATTTCCATGTAAAAAATGTGGCAGGTAAACATGGGAAGATTTGGAGATGAAGAAAATTTCTGACATACTTTCTTCTGTCCAAAGGAAAAATGAATATGGAATTGAAGAATATTTGCTAATCTTAGTCTTTAAGATGTGTGGATCTCAGCTCCAACATGTTAGCTAGGGATTTCTGGGAAATAAAATCCACAGATTTTAAAGTTACTAAGGTTGAAAAACACTGATCTTAAGGCAAATGCTATGCTCTAGGCATTTTGGATTAAATATTCTACATTTCCTTGCTAACTGGAACTGATGAGAATCAAAGTCCACAGTATTTAGAAGTCACCAAGTTGCCTAATCTGCATATGTGTGAGGTAAAAAGGTTTTGTTTTGTTTTTAAATTGCTCACATAATTACATTTTTCCAGTTATGAATTGTTAGGATATGATTTAATTTCTGTCCAGTCCCCCTGCTGTCTTCTACTTTGGGTGGATTTCACATTTGAACAGAATGATGTAGAGATGGAAAAATGCTCTAGGGATGTCTTGAAGGAATATTTCAACAGCTTCCTAGATAATTATTATCCTTTTCACTGCAATAGCAAGCACCAGTTCAAGACTGAACAGGATTAAACATCAGTTGGCCTTGAGCTTGCACATATCTGTTTCAATTTGTATGTCTCTCTCAGTTAACTGGAGCTAGACTAAAGAACATGTTGGTGACTGGAAGTATCATTAGACTGGAAAGTTAACTTCTTGTCTAGACTGATAAACCCAGTGAATTATGAACCTTATCAAGCATTTAACTGATGACATGAATAAATTATACCCAATTTATTTCTAATTTATGCTAGGAAGGATCTCTGATCCTCATGGGCTGTAAACTTGCAAGCAAAAAAGGGTAGATTTTGTGAGGGTTTTCCTTCCAAAAGAAATATAGGTAGAATTGTGAGGACTACTCACTTGTTCCAATTTGCACATAGGTAGAAGTTACCTGATAATCTACTACTTGGATATTCAAAAGTCTTGTATAAAATAGCTCATAAAGGGCTTCTATGGAAATCATAATAATCATGGGAAATCTAAAAGACCAAAAGTGGATGAAAGGAAGCACATGTGAAATGCTTCGGTACTAAATAACCAGATGCAAATGATGTCAATTTATATCAAATTTGTCCTATAAAGAACTTCAAAGATTTTCCAAAATTGTGATTGCAAGAAGATCTTTCACACATACAGTAATCATTGCAATTAATTTCTTCAAGTGTCTAGGACTTGTGTGCACTTCATTTGTGTCTGTTTGTTAGCAGAGATTTTTTTCATCAATAGCTGCTCTCAGCATGAAAAGTACTAGGTGATGCCTCAGAATTAATACAAAACATGAATTTAAGGCTTATGTCTGCCCAAATTAGGTATTGGGTTCATGTTCTATACATAGAACCATGTTGCAGAAAAATGATAATAGAGAAGTTTGGTAGTTTACTCCATTGAACCCAAGGTCCAGCCAACACTGCTAAATAGAAGTCTTAAATCGTATTTTATTATTTCAGAGTGTGTTCTAGTTCATATTAGCCATTTTTCATATTTTCCTTTATTTGAATCTCTTTTGTCTTTTTATTATATTTATTTCCATTTTTAAATATCAGCATGGATCTTTCAAAGTTCTTCATCTCACAAAGTGTCAAGGGTCATTTTGAATTGGAGTGGGAAATCAATAAAGAAAAAGTAGGCACAGGTAGCATTGCAAAATTATAACATGAATTGCACTTGGGTGGATTTTACTCTGCACTGCTTAGAAGAATCAACCGTAATAATTCTAGGTCTTGACTTTGGTTGATTCTGTAAAGTCCAAGATAATCCCTGCAAACTTTCCTAATTTGGCAGCTTCTAGATCTATTGCAACTAAATGACCCAAATTCCCAGCTATTCTGGTCAAACTGGCAATGTCGCTATATCTAAACAGTGCTAGGTTAAAAGTCAATCCCTATGCAGCCATTTTAAGTAGAGTTTGCTTCTAAATATAAAACATTCCTTGTTGTAATATAATCATCCCTTCACACTTTAAAAGTTAAAAGTTGGCCAGTTGTGGATGATACACCGGAACCAGGTACTCAAAATTATTTGCATCTCAGTTGAGAAACCAGGAAGGTAAATAGATGTTGGTTGAGATCAGGAATGACTTAAGGTGTGTTCATGTATCTTGGCCAAGCCTAGTATGATAATTTATATCCTAGCCTAGATAATTTGTGACCCGTTGAGAAATTTCAAGAAATATTTCCTTACCAGATTCCTTAATGCTCTCAACAGTGGCAGAGCTTCTAATGTACTGCCTTCACTGGTAAAGTTGGAAAACGTTTAGAGATGTTTCTGCCTTGAAAGTAGCCCATGTTGAACTGTATAGCACAGTCAGACATCAGCACCGGAAATGTTTTATAACATTTTGTATCATAGACTGCTTTGTGATAATATTTGTATCATAAAATGTTTTTTAAAATTTCAATTCCATGGAAGTCACGGGTCCCGGATTTTAGATGTACTTGGTAAGTTAGCTCATTTGAGGTATCTTGCTTGAAAAACGATTGCCCTATGGTAAACTGTTTCACCCAGTTGAATGTTACTGGAATGAGAGTTTTAGTACATAGATAATGGCTGTCCAGTACTATGACATAAAGGTTGGTCACCATCATATTAAAGCTGTAGTGCTGTTTCTTTGCTTTGGGCTTAATGGGCGTATGCAGTCTGTGTTCCTTTTTTGTGCACTAACCAAGTTTCGAACCTTGATCAAAGCAACCTATAAGCATTACAAGCTTTTCTCAACTGCAGCTTCCAGCATCCGCTAACACAGTGTTTCCCAAACTTGACAATTTTAAGGCATGTGGACTTCAACTCCCAGAATTCCACAGCCAGCAATGCTGGCTGTGGAATTCTGGGAGTTGAAGTCCACATGCCTTAAAATTGTCAAGTTTGGGAAACACTGCGCTAACATGACCAAGCTTCTTAGAGATGTTGGGAATTGCAGGTCAGCAACATCGAGAGGGGTAACCAGTTGCCTCCTCTTGTTCTAGCTGCTTTAAAAGCAGATAACAGGAATTTCCTGTTTAGCTTATCTGCAAGGGTGACTTTGAACACCTTAATAAGTCAGTGTTCAAACAAAGGAGGGTGGAAGGTGATATTAAAAACCCAGGATTTAACTACTTTGCTGTGGATATCTGTTTCCTGCAGAATCTTCTACAAGGTGAAAAGTCGGAGCGCTCACATGAAAAGCCATGCTGAGCAGGAGAAAAAGGCCGCAGCTCTGAAACTGCGAGAGAAGGAGGAGGCGGCAGCGGCAGCCGCTGCCGCTGCAGCAGCTGCAGCAGCATCAGCACACAGTAGGGCTCAGCAGGAAGAAAGTGGGAGCAGTCATGGGAGCAGCAGCAGCAGCAGCTCGGATGAAGATGGCGATGTTTAGCCCAGGACCTGCAGAGGTTGAGAGCCTGGTCCTGACTGCTCCAGCCTTGCTTCTACTTCCTTTCCTTCTTGCTTGAACCGTACTGGTAGATTTTTAAAGGAAAAAAAAAAATAGCGACCACAAAAATCTCTATTTTTTAAAAAAACAACAACCAACCAAACATTTTATGGATTGTTTTATTTATAAATAACTTTCCGTATCTACTTACTGAGTGGAAGTCTGTTTTCCTTCAGCTCCTGAAATTGCCAGGAATCATGGCATAAGCCTTAAGTATCTTACCCATTGCTGAGAGAGAAATGTGTCGAATCCTCTGAATTATTGAATTACTTTGTGTGTAAATTCAAGGATCCATATAGCGTTCTTCATACACTTCTTTCTTTCAACTCCCAAGTTTGCTTTGTGGCTTGGAGTTATTCACGTTTTCTTTTGTCTCCTTCATACAAGAGTTTTTGTTTCTCCAGCTGGTAGATAATCCAGAGTCTGTGAGTAACCTCTCTAGGGTGAGTGAAGAGACTATTGCTTTTAAGATATGGCTCTTTAAGAGTGGACATATTATAGTTAGTATTTGTTTGGAACGACCCCTATTATGTTGAGTTTTTTAAAAGTCACATAAAGTTGTTCATGTATGTCTCCAGAGTTGGCCAAAAGAATTAGTGATGAGTTCTGGATACTGCGCCTCCATAGTTCTGTGATAGAACAAACAACTTTGCTTGCAGAAGAATCCATACATGATTTTGGGTTAATGAGATTGAGGTAGATTTCTGCCCAAATTATTAAAGAGCCACAGTTAGGAGAAGATGATGGCTTTTATCCATGGCATTATTCTGCCGGGGGATAGCATTCATTCATCAGAGTCCATTTGCAATAACCATTCTTATTCCAAACCTGAGCATGTAAGTTGAAGAATCCTCCCGAGCAGATTTGAGGGGGAGGGCAGGAAAACAACTGGAAGTCCAGTATGAGTGAAAACAGCTGGCATACAGTTTGATACTGTAGCCCAGTGGATTAGATAACTAGTAGTCCATCATGAAAGTGCATTGTTCTTTACCTGAATAGACTTGAGTGTAATTTTGCTTACCGGTAATTGTCCATTTGAATGCTTCAACTGGTCTACAAAGGAATAGCTGCCAATTTTTTTTAACAGTTATGATATTTATTCTCCCCGCCCTTTTTTTTTTATAAAAATGCATGGTTTTTAAAGGCAGACTGAATATTCTCAAGATAATAGGAGTAAGGATCATGTTGCATTGATTTATATGTATTTGTACCCTCAGGACTACCTCTTCTGCTGAGGTATTTGCCAAATAAATGACAGTTTCATTTAGATGTTCTGTACTGTACCGGGATCCAGATATCTAAAGTCAAGATACCTAAGTCAAATGTGTGGAAAAAAAACCAAAAGTATTTAGAAATGGTGCACCAAGCCAAATTTACCTAAGACTTTGTGCTTCTGCACTAAGCAGCAAGTATTTGCAATTATCTTAAGACACTTGGGCTCTACACATTGCAAAAGTAAAGAACAATTCTCTGTCTGTCTGGCAGTACAAGGAAAAGGACGGTGCAGCAGACAGAAAAAGAATGCTTAGCAGATAAAAAGAACGCTTAGCAGGGGCACCTACTTGCTTATCACTGCTTGCTTATAACTTTCAAATTCTCTTGTCTGCAGAAAATACAGTGTTTATTCAGCTCTAAATGGTAAATCCCTGAAAAATAAGTCTTCTAAAGCCACAAGGGTCATGAAAGCAAAGAACTGCATTCATAATCTACAGAAGAACCTTTATTGAATAAATCATGCTGGGATTGCTCTCCAGCAGGGTTTTTTTTTTCTAGAACCAGTTCAAGACTCAAGTTTTTAGAAGTTTACTTAGAAATTTATTGAAAAGCTAGAAGTTTAAAATTTGATTCCCAGCCATAGAACAAGATTGAAAGTCTTTTGGAGAAAGGCCAAATCAGAGCGATTGCAGCAAGCCATGGTTGAGTTGCCCAGACAACTAGATAGTAATTAATCCTACCAGCTGCTGGATGTATTCTGCCTGCTGAGTTACATGATCAGCGGAATTTTTTATGGAGCAACTTTTACTATATAAGTTTACTAGTACAGCTACAAGAGTACATATTTCAAATACCTCTATTCATAGCACAAAACGAAACCACTATCGGAACATGCAAAGAATTTGCATTCTGAATGTTGAAAATAAGTTTTAGTCTTCTTTCCTAATATGCTAAGCCAGTGGTTCTCAACCTTTTTAATGCCGTGACCCCCCAACCGGTCGTAAGTCGAGGACTACTCAACTGGTGCAGCACCGTTTGCAGAATGGGACTTTTGGCGGGCTCAGCAGGGCAGAGACAGCCTGGACAATTCCTATTGGCTTTTGAAAGCCAATAGAATTAGACTCTATTCAAGAGAGTCTATTCTATTGGCTTTCAAAAGCCAATAGAATAAAAGGGAGTAGCACAGCTAAGGAAAAGGGGAAAAAATGGCGGACTGCGTTGTTTGGCGACCCCAGTGAAATGGTCGTTTGACCCCAAATGGGGTCCCGACCCACAGGTTGAGAACCACTGTGCTAAGCTAAGTTGCTGTTCATGTGGAAATTGACTGTCTCTTACTTGCAATCTGAGGCAGAAGCAATCCCAGGAGCCGATCATGTGAACCTGTTGTTTGAAGAACAGAGCAGGTACTTTGCACGCAGGAGGTCTCTATTTGAGTTCAAGATTATCCAGTAACAGAGCTAGGAAGCCAATCTGCTGAGTGTTAGAAGGGATGTTCTCAGGCCATTGTTGCTGCTTAGTACTTACTGAGCTAAGTAGACAAACAGCATAATGGATTATACAGATTTTTTTAAAATGGTCAGAATCTCATAATGCAGAAATTTTAAACCTCCCCCCCCCCCCCCCCGGTAACATATGGATAATGCCAGTCTGCCTCTAAAGTGAGTTCTTCCCATGTATTTTAAAAAAAGCCTTCAATTAAAGGTAATTACTTTCTTTTTACCATCTTCAGAGCTACAATTGGAACTTCAAGAATGTCTCTGCACTATTTTTGCACTGGGTCAATGATGTTCTTCCAGATCGTAATTTTGCACAAATTTTAGCATTTTATATACAATATAATGAAGCAAAAGCAATGCAACCAGGTTTCTGACTGCATTTTCAAAAATAGCTGGTCTCAAATCACGTTTTCCTTTGCACTTAGACTGTGTGAATTCCAGCCCAAACAAGAAAATTATCTTGATTAAATAATTAACTCGAGATCTTGAGAAAGGCAACATTTGCTTCTCCAACTGTTCAGAAAGGAAGAGCATTGCTGCCTTGAAATTCAGCATTAAATTTAATCAATGTCATATGTTAAGAGAGAATATATATTTTTGGGAATGAATAAAGTATCCAAATGGTATTTTTTAGGGGGGGAAAGGGATGTGTATGGAACATATTACAAAAGTATTTTGTTCCTGGATGGAACATGTTCTTCCCAAATATAATTGCTACAATCCAGCACAGATGCACTTTGCGATTCATTGTGTGGCATTTTATAGCTATTAAAGACTTATAAATAGTATTCCTAAAATTGTATTTATATCACATCAGTAATAATGCATCAGTGAACCTATCTATCAACTAATTTTTGGAATAGATAATATTCATGGGAAGTACATGTGGGAATAACTTTGGATGCAATTTGGAAGGCACAATCCAGTAGTTTATCATGACTATCCAGTTCACATAAATGGGAATTAATTCATTTTTCATACTATATCATAAGATTAAAAAAATGGTTAATTTGCTTCTTTAGGCCACAGTGAAATTGACTTTTCTATACTGCTGCTTTTCTCTCTCTTTCATATAATAATAATAATAATAGTAAAGTTGGAAGGGACCTTGGAGGTCATCTAGTCCAACCCCCTGCTCGGGTAGGAAACACTACACCATTTCGGACAAATGGCTGTCCAGTCTCTTCTTAAAAACTTCCAGTGTTGGAGCATTTACTGCTTCTGGAGGCAGGTTGTTAGACTAGAGCATATATTTGGACAGGGAAGGAATGCAGTTTTTGCATGTATGCAAATATAAGCAAGCAGTCTGATGGGGAGTTAAGAGATAAAAGTTGAGAAATGCTGCCTTCTTCCTCCTTTGTGAAGCTGGGCAGAAGAAGCAGTGATGGTCTAGAACGGGTGTCAAACTGCCGGCCCGCGGGCCGGACGCGTCATCCGGAAGCACGCTCACCCCATTGCCGGCAATGGCAAAACCGTCCCGATACGTTGCGCGACGTCACTGAGTTTGACATATCTGGTCTAGAATATGATATATATATATATCACACAAATCACAATCACATATGTGATTTCCAGGTACATACTTAAACTAAAGGTGTGTCTGAATAAAACTAAAGGTGTGTCTGAATTGATGGCTTGTTATAGAACCAGCTTAGTTCAACAGGGTAGGCAGTGGCATGTTAATTGCTGGGTGAAATATACTAATTTAATCGATCTCATAATAGTCCTGATATTGGAGCTCTTTTTCTTCTTCCTGAGTATTTTGTAGCCCAAATGTATTTTCCACTTTTTTTCTACTAAAGTATATCCTTACTAATCTGGAATATCCCATTTCTGATTATTAGCCAGTACATAAAACTCTTTTGTTTTTTTATACCAAGGTAACTTTAGGTGAGAGAACCTTTATAAATCCACAGATTTTCATTTCGCACAATTTTACAAGTCCATTCTTCCTCAGATATTTTCACATTAATAAACTTCCCTGTTATGCAGAGATCTTTTTCTCACTAAAGATGATAGATGGATTCACACATTGCATTAAATTCATAATTGCTTTGGTTAGGGAGTTGGGTGGCATACACATTTAATAAATAAAATTAATATTTATTTTAAATATAATTGTTTAAACATAACAAGTTAAAATTAGTCTTGTAAATGAGCAAAGTTATGGCTTATTCATCTGATTCTTGAATTATTTCCATTTAAATATTTTTTGTCCTATAACTTCATGAAATGTTTAAACAGTACACAAATAAACCAGAGACATGTCAGGAAATCACAAATAAACCATGCATGATTATTTACGCATCACAGTTCCTAGGTTGCTACTTGTAAGTAAACAATCATATCATAATTTTAATGTGATGTGTGAGGTCAGCAGCTATATGCAAACCTACATTAGATTCTTAATGATAAATGTATATGAATAAACATGGCTTGAATTTTTTTTCTTCCTGTTCATAATGTAAAATGCATGGCACTTAAGACACTGAATACTCAACTCTACTACTCAGCTGCAGCTGATAGGTTATTATGGAATAACTTTATATTGCAAGTGTAATCAACATTAATGGAAGAATACTTCATTTTGAAACACTTCGATATGGTTGATGCTGTAGTTTCCCAATACATTGCAATTACTTTACATCAAGCACAACTATATTGAAGGTTCTGACAGCGTGATTAGTAATGCTGCAAAAAGGGAGTTGGAAGCCTTTATTATAGGCATTTATTTTCTATGATTGCTATATTTGCAAATGAGCATTTGTTAGTAATACACAGTTGGATAATCTCATTTAGAAACTGTGGACTTAAATTCAGTGGACTTCTAGTGATCTAATCCATGCAGTTTTCTTGGCAGAAATACCAAAGTGATTTTCCATTCCCATCTTCTGGAATGCTAGTTCAACATTCCAGTCTAGTCTACAATTCCAGTATTAACTATGATTGACCTTGGAGATCAACAAAGATTAGCTAGGGATGAGGTTTTTGTGTTCTCTTTGAGACTTCTGAGTGGACACGCACTGCCCATCCATTGAACGTAAGATAGTTGAAGATGCCAATTAAAGTTCCTTTAGTCATCAATCATCTTTAAATCTAGTTTTAACTAGGCTGTCCCTCCCTTTGCATAATCACTAAATCACTGATGTAGGTGGAGAACTGCAATTCAGCGTTTTGCTTGCTTTACCCATAATATAATCTGACCCACTTCCCCATTTTTGTTGCTTTCTGCTTGCAAGATGAGTATCACTCTAGTATGTCTGGAAATGTATTACTCTGATATGTCTGGAAAACAAAGTCTGCCACAGTCCCGTTCCCCCGCCCCGATTTTCTAAATGTTTGCATCCCAATACTTGCCAGTGTGCCTCTACTCTCTTAGATATATGGCCTTCTGCTGTGACTCACTGGCTCAATTTTTTTTTCAGAAGAAATAGAAACTGCACAGATGCTTCTCTCCCCCCCCTTCCCGATCAATGATAGTTTTAATCCCACATATGTTATTGTGCTGAATTCCTCCAGAGCCAAGACTGGTGTTCATTTCAGGAAACTATTCAGAATTTCCTGCCCAAATTGTATAGAAATAAGTGAAGTTTCAGACAGGTTGTGGCCCTAATCTTCAGCTGCTTCCATTTCTTTTTCTTTTTTGCTTCTCTCCTTTCCTTTTTGGAACGTGAGATTTTATATCAACAGCTGAAGCTATAAAAATCCCCACCTGCTTGTATTCAGATAAATTTGTGCGAGACGGTGTGTATATATGTATCTATGTATGTAAAATAACAATGTGCTTTCAATATGCTTTGTTGAAAGAAAATCTAGTTGCGTATTTACGTTTCATGTTATCCTCCCGATGTTCAAATTTAGTATAAGTTTTTTAGTCTGTATTTAATGCTGAAGTTTTCTTGATGTACAGTATAGAAACGGTCTTGTTTTCTTGTAATTATTGTATAAATGCTTTTAATATAGAGCTTTTATTTTAACAAATGAGCAGGAATTGCCTTTTGTGTATTTGCTGCACCTTTTAAAAAGACTGTTACATATTAAAATATTGTACATACAAAAGTATTATATACCTCTTATGTATAAATGTGATAGATCAGACAATTTATTTTTGTGTTTTTTTTACAAACTATTAATACACTAAAAGTCTTGCTGATGTGATTTAATGTACTTGTAACTTATTTACTTATGGAGGTTCCATTATATCTTTTTAAACCTTTTTTAATTAAATAAGGTTTAAAAGCAGCTTTTGTAATAAGTTCTTTTTTTAATTTAATGTTTTGAAATAAGAGGGTGTTTTTTTTTCTTTTCTTGACTACCATGGTGCATTTCTGCCTGGTGTAATTAAATAAGATCTGTGTGCTGCAAAAGTTGTGTACTATTTTTGTATATGAGCTTGTGGCTCCATTCTACGGTGAACTGGCAAAGAATGGAAATGTCCCTGCATTGGATTGCCCGCTGAATTAAAAAGTTGGACACAGTGAAAAGTCTAGCACCTCTGGGTTAGCCCAATGCAGGATTTTTTATTTTATTTTTTTGCAGAGGCATCTGTAGATGCCCTTGATGATATCACATGCTTCATGATACCATCAGGCAAATTTTGTATAGATAATTGTCACTTGTGACTGGTACAATTTATGTAATTTGTTACACTTGATGACACATCTGGCATCATTTGACACACCTACCACCACCACCCTGGATTCCCGTCTGCGGTTCTTTGAATAAGTATGTGATTCCTACCTCCTTCGAAGCACTGTCACTAAGAAAACGGAGTTCTACTCAGTGTTGTTCAGGGAGAATAAAACAGTGGATTTAAGATGCAAAAAAACAACTTTCAAGTGGACATCAGGATAATTCCCAACGGTGAAACACACACAGTATTGTAACAGGAAGCCTAGACCAGTGTTGGTAGCTTTAAGAAATGTGAAGTTCCCGCTGGCCAGGTAATGCTGGGAATTGAAGTTCACACATCTTAAAAGTTGCTGAGGTTGAGAAACACTGGTCTAGACCAGGGGTAGGCAACCTCGGCTTTTTTATGACTCATGGACTTCAACTCTCAGAATTCCTGAGCCAGCCATGCTAAGGGGAAAGGGAGAGGTTTCCAAGCTGCAGAGATTTCCACTTTATCATTCTCTAGATATAACTCAAAATCAGTTTCATTGTGTCACATTAAGGGGCTTTCCTAGCTGAACTCCACTAAAATTATTACTTTTAAGGAAAGCAAAGGTTTGTTCATAAATGAGCTTAGTTTATATAGTAAATCCTTTTCCTTCATGCTGAAGTCGTACAGTGAGGGAAAAAAATATTTCATCCCCTGCTGATTTTGTACATTTGCCCACTGACAAAAGAAATGATCAGTCTATAATTTTAATTGTAGGTTTAACAGTGAGAGACAGAATAACAACGAAAAAATCCAGAAACCACATTTCAAATCAGTTATAAATTGATTTGCATTTTAATGAGTGAACTAGGTATTTGACCCCTTCACAAAACATTACTTAGTACTTGGTGGCAAAACCCTTGTCGGCAATCACAGAGGCCACCCGGTTTGCACACATCTCAGGAGGGATTTTGTCCCACTCCTCTTTGCAGATCCTCTCCAAGTCATTAAGGTTTCGAAGCTGACGTTTGGCAGCTCAAACCTTCAGCTCCTCCACAGCTTTTCTATGGGATTAAGGTCTGGAGACTGGCTAGGCCACTCCAGGACCTTAATGTGCTTCTTCTTGAGTCACTCTTTTATTGCCTTGGTTGTGTGTTTTGGGTCATTGCCATGCTGGAATACCCATCCACGACCCATTTTCAATGGCCTGGCTGAGGGAAGGAGGTTCTCACCCAAGATTTGACGGTACATGGCCCCGTCCATTGTCCCTTTGATGCGGTGAAATCCTGTCCCCTTAGCAGAAAAACATCCTCAAAGCATGTTTCCACCTCCATGTTTCATGGTGGGGATGATGTTCTTGCATCATAGGTAGCATTCCTCCTCGAAACATGGCGAATTGAGTTGATGCCAAAGAACTCGATTTTGGTCTCATCTGACCACAACTTTCACCCAGTTCTCCTCTGAATCATTCAGATGTTCACTAGCAAACTTCAGACGGGACTGTACATGGGCTTTCTTCACAGGGGGACCTTGCGGGCGCTGCAGGATTTCAGTCCTTCACGGTGTAGTGTTTTCTTGATGACTATGGTCTCGGCTGCCTTGAGATCATTGACAAGATCCTCCCATGTAGTTCTGGACTGATTTCTCACCGTTCTCATAATCATTGAAACTCCACAAGGTGAGACCTTGCATGGAGCCCCAGACCGAGGGAGATTGACAGTTATTTTGTGTTTCTTCCATTTGTGAATAATTGCACCAATTGTTGTCACCTTCTCACCAAGCTGCTTGGCGATAGTCTTGTAGCTCATTCCAGCCTTGTGTAAGTCTACAATCTTGTCCCTGACATCCTTGGACAGCTCTTTGGTCTTGGCCATGGTGGAGAATATGATTGATTGCTTGTGTGGACAGGTGTCTTATACAGGTAACAAACTGAGATTAGGAGCATTCCCTTTAAGAGGGCGCTCCTAATCTCAGCTCATTACTTGTATAAAAGACACCTGGGAGCTAGAAATCTTGCTGGTTGTTAGGGGATCAAATACTTATTTCACTCATTAAAATGCAAATCAATTTATAACTTTTGAAATGCGTTTTTCTGGATTTTATTGTTATTCTGTCTCTCACTGTTAAAATAACCCTACCATTAAAATTATAGATTGATCATTTCTTTGTCAGTGGGCAAATGTACAAAATCAGCAGGGGATCAAATAATTTTTTCCCTCACTGTATCAATCCATCCATGCTTTAAGGGTCCCCTTAGACCAGGGGTGTCAAACTGACAGCCCATGGGCTAGATGTGTGATGCACAGGCCACCTTCACCCCAGCTCCACAAAAAAGTCACAATATGTCACATGACACAATCGAGTTTGACACCCATACCTTAGACCAGATCTCTTTTACTGCCACTTTGACTTCAGGGTTGTAATTGAATAATTTACCTATGACAGCAATGTCCTTTGTATAAAATATTTATTTCTACTTTTGAGCAAGTTTCACAAAATGACTTAAAACAGATCTAAATAACTTCATAATAATGTCAGACAATATCATCGTGCTACAAAATTGTACTCTACTTTTTAAAAGGAGTTATCATGCTACAGTAATTGCTTGAAAATTGCTCTCCAACTTGGAGTTTGTTTTAGAAGCCTAAATTTCTACTTAAACTAGAGATCCACAAATGAGAGCTGCCAGCTTTAAATGTCCTTTGACATCTTTGCATAAATAATGTACAGTGTCTGATTGCAGCCAGAGACTGAAATGCATGTTGACACCTCTCAATTTATCAGTATGCATTAAATGTATTAGTATGCCATTAAATAAGATTAACATAAGCCACCCTACTTCCAGTGTGGAGAGTGGGATTCAACACTGCTTACATGTCTTTTACATGGATATTTATTTCACCCATAATCCATATATTAGGCTAAATAATTTCCAGGGTGGTGGCAAACCATAACAGCTCCTCAGAGCAACTAGAAGGAAGTCCTTTTTATTTGTTGCTCTGCCAAGAAGCTTTCTCTGCATAACCCACATATCGCAACACAACCATTTACATTACTTCCTATCAGCGTCCAGTGCATAATTTTAAAGTGCATTTTTTAAAAAAAAAACCCACTCCTTATTTTAGCATTTGGATTTGTGTTTTGCACTACAAACTAATCCATTTCAACAAGATCAGAAGTACATTATTTGGAACATTTTTACTGTAATGCCACATCAACCCAATATTCGCCTCATGTCTATTTCATCTTCTGTCTAACATTACCTGGTTGTTAAAATTTCATTATCCTACCAACTGCTTTTCACAACAGAATATGTTGCTTCACTATTAAAAAAAGAAACTCTTCTGTATGCAATGTGAAAAGGACATTCCAGGTCATGCTGAGCCGTCTATCTGTCATTTAGAGAAATAAAGATAACATGCTACAAAAGCAAAAGCTTTTACTGCAAGATGTGAAGTAGCCTTCAAGAAAAGTCTTCAGGAAGATTAAAAACAAATGGAAAGAAATGTGTGGCAAAGATTGCAGTCAGAAGTTCTCTATCGCTAGCCCTATTTTTACATAGGCTCCTAGTAACTTCTTTGTGTAACTTGCACATTCTAAGTTGTGGAAGAAATGGCACTGAAATGGTTTGGTAACAGATTTCATTATAATTCATAGCTTTAAAGAGAAATCATTCCACTTCAAATTCCAAGTCTTAAGCATCACTTTCCTTTTGAAAGAAGCTGTATTATCATCTTTTATTATACTTGTAAATAGTATCATGGTGAAAGCCTTCTAATTATACTGTTCCTTGGGAATTTACCGGTAGGTACTGTAAAAGGCTTTTCCACAAGTACCACTGCTTTTTGATTTATGAATTACATCTTATACTGCATTCCAGTACAATCTGTTGCACACTGAATCTATATAAATGGAATATGCATCTATTTCATCAGATTCTTGCCAGCCTTACAATTTTTTTTTAAATCCAAAATGCAAAAATATTCCCTTTGCTTCTCCTTTTCCCTACTGCAGCAAACCTATGAGTTTGTATATGGGCCTGGAGACACCAGTGCAATTCAATGTTCTTAAAAATATAAAATTAAGCCAACTTCTATACAAGCAAACATTACAATTAGTACTGGCTAAATAAAACAGGGAATTGAGCTAATCACTAAAGCAACACTTGTTACAGGATCACATTTTTCTATAAGCATACCAAAAATAAACTTGAATTATAAATATATTTTAATTCTTTATTTTAAAAAAACCTGTTGGGTTTTTTTAAAAAAATATGCCTGTTGATCATACATGATCATTCTGCAAGAGACAGAACAGTTAAATTTTCAAATACCTCCTTTTTCCTCCGTTTAAATTTGTATTGTTATTTTTCTCTAAATGTTACAGTAAATTACATCGGGATTATGTCAGCAATCCAGCTGACACAAAGGGCACAAGTAGAATATTTACAAGCCAAGCAACAAAAAGATGTTGGATATAGTAAAGGATTTCCACCTAATCTCCTGAAAGAAACACCAGTGCCAATAACATCAATAAGTTATTTTAAGAAAGGCACTAATTCTTACTAAGATGCTATTTGCTAAAGAAAGATGTGTTGTTATGTTCCTATCACCCACTCCTAAACCTTGGTATCCCATCACATTCAAAAGAATTATACAAAGGGTTTGATATAAAAAAAAAACTATTAGTGTATAACAATTTTGTTTCTCATGACATGAACAGAGAAAATTAAACATGGTTTCTGAACAATCATAAATTATCCCCTAGTTACTGGTCTTGTTCATTTTAGATATTTCCTCCCCAGGAAATGTGTTTTATCTTACTTCCCAAAGACAATTATACAGTATATGTGAGGGATCCCAAATAACAAGAACTGGGTGAAATGGCAGAACTCTCTCTGAAAAAACTGTTTTCAAGACAAAAAGTATAGAGATTTCTAAGATTATGGCATTACTTGCATGGTTAATATCACACTAGTTATACCATCAGCATCAAAAAGATGCTGAACTCAACAGAAGTTCCACAAAAATTGCTAGTCCAAACATTTTGCTGACTTTCCCCTTCAAATGCATTGACCATTTGAGGGATACCAAGAATGGGATTAAAAGAACCAATTTGGCATTTATTGCTGCCTGTATCCCAGATCCCTTGGAAGTGACTGGACATTTGACACTTCATTAGCAAGAACCCTGCCTTTATCTTAATTCCAAGCAAGCTAACTGCCTCAAGAGCAAGTCTTTGCAGAGAACAAGCCTCTTAAACCCACACAATATCCAATCCATAGGCAACCCGTGACCTGTGGCTGTTATCCTTTCAGAGAAATTTCCTTACCAAATTTCTCAATGTCTTCAGCAATGACAGAGCTTCTAATGCACTGCCTTCACTGGAAAAGCTAGGATACATTCAGAGATGTTTCTGCCTTGAAAATAGCCTATGTTGAACTGTATAGCACAGTTGAACATCAGCACCAGAAATGTTTTATGGCTTTTGCATTATGTCATAAGGTGCTTTAGGAAATTGTTTGTGTTACAAAATTTAAATATCCATTCCACAAGAGTTATGGGTCCCAGATTTTGGATGAATTTGGTTAAGTTAGCTCATCTGAAGCACTTTGAGTCAAAAGGTTTTGCTTTATGGCACTGTTTTGCCCAGTTAAAGGTTATCCGGGCTACAAAAATCTGGATGACCAGTAGGTGAAAGGAAAGAGAGACACAATATCCTGACTGTTTATTGTCATCCAGCAACTGCCCCAATGTTCACAGGCCCAATTTTTGTACCCCAGATATGACAACTCTTAGTTCACCAGTTTCTCCTGCCTCACAGGTACCGAGAGAAAAATCAATTGCTAAGAGGCAAAGTAGAGGATGTAAATAAATGACTATCACTGGTCTGGGACACACAGTGCCTTACTTTAAACGGTTAAAAAGTTCTACATCAAGAACTATAATCATTTATCTGTTCACAAACTTCCTCAGCTGCAATCCTATACATGTTTACTCAGAAGTAACTTCCACTGCATCCAAGCAGACTTATTGCCTAAAGCAGAACCCAGCAACCTATAATCTAAGGACATCATGCCATGCAGTCTGGCCTCTTTTTATGGCCCTAAAGTTTCCTAAAGCTTGTCATGATTGCTGAAAACTGATAGCATCATTTCCCATTTATTGAAACAAGAAAATATGACACCTGTACAGTAGCGTAAGCCCTAAAACATCTGTTTATTCAGTTTATAGCTGCCTTTCAAATCTAGTATTCTGCTCTGTAACCCTGAACATAGCCCTGCTCATTTATGTGAAGTATTCCATTCATTTTGCAACCTCTTCCCCAGTATTAAGCTGGACTTCTGGACAACACAAGATTACCTACACCTGGCCTAATGTGAAGACAACAGTAAAGATACAAATGAGAATATAGTAGAAAAACAATGCAAAGCACTAAACCTAACATATAAATATCTTTGTTAAAAATGGTGCATCTACATGGATTGGTTCACAAACAATTAAAGTTAAATATGAATAGGATGAAAGTAAAAAACGAATTAAAAATCCAATATGTGGATGTGCAAGAACATTTCCAATAAAACTCTAGTGAGACTTTGTGAAATAGCTTGGAGGATTGCTCTTTGACGTAACCAAGCCTATAATAGTAAGGAACTCTCCTCTTAAAAAAAAAAAAAATGAACTGCAACATTCTTTCAGAATAATAACTGTCTGAAGCCTAATAAATACATAGATTTGAGACATAAATCCAAAGGCTAAAGAATAAATATTCCTGGGCACAGGCTCAGCGTTTGTGTAAAACAGAAATGAGCCTCACTGTGTTCCATAGTGTTTATTCCCATAACAGCCTGTCATCTATTAACTGAGAAATGGATTGTCAGAGCCAATACTTTTAAGTAGAAAAAAACAGAGCAGAGAAAAACTGCTGCAAGCCGTATAAAATTAAATTTTACTTTCAACAAAATAGTAACATCTTACTTTATTTCTCTCTTTTCCATCTTTAGGAATGACTAAAATGTCCAGTCATATCAGTAAAAATTCTAGGGAGGGAAAAGGCTTTGACAAAGACAACTTATAGTCTTCTTTATCAAAAAATAAACTGCATTGGAACACTTACACTATATATCCTACAGCTTTACTGCTTTCCTCTTCTTTCTTTCCTGTTGTTTCTTCAGCTGTCATTTATCAATTACTAAAATGGAATCTTAGTTTTGAACAACCTGCTATATCTCAATTTCTTTTGACAGCTGTTTTCTTTTCTCAGATTACTCAGATTCCAAAATAATAAAGGACTTCAGCCATTCTGTAACATATAATCAGCACAAACCTTTGCTTAAGAGTTTCATCTTCCTTAAAACAAAGTATGTAAAGGAAAATTCAGCCAGCATATTAAACCAAAGGAGGAGAGAAATACTTCACCTACAACAAAGAAACTGCCTTCATTTTTTCCATCTAATATTGCATATTAACCCAGGAGAAAAAAACATGAGACACTTGATAAATGTTAGAGCATATCGCTATTTGAATCCTTTCTTTAAAAGAAAAATATTTTTAAAAAGCCATACTATATAGAACCCCTCTGTCATTTTTCAAATGATTAGAGAAAACCATTTAACACATGCTTTGTAGAAATCTGCTCTTTAAAAAAAAAATCATACACTTGCAAAAAAACCTCCAGGTATTAAATAAAAAGTAAACATTCATAATAAAAAAGTAATAATTCTTTGAGTGAGAAGAACATGGAGATGAATCAGTTAAAAAGTTACCTACATTTTTCTTTAAAGACATATTTATACAAAAGCATCACATCCTATACAGTGCTGGAGATACATCAATAATTTAATGTGAAAGAAAAGGTGCTAGTTTTCTCCTTCTTCACCTTCTTCCTGTTTTATAACCGGGATACCTAAAAAAAATAAATAAATAAATAAATAAATAAATAAATAAATAAATAAATAAATAAATAAATAACAACAATAAGTATTGCCTTTTCTTCCATTTCCTTTCCCTATCACTTCCAGGTTTTTCAACTTTGTGCTCTCTCTCTCTCTCTCTCTCTCTCTCTGTGTGTGTGTGTGTGTGTGTGTGTGTGTGTGTGTGTGTGTGTGTGTGAAGACTCATAAGAATCTATCACTTTGGTAAAGTTTATTAACAAGAATTTAAAGGAATTCTTAGCTAGACTCTGTTTTTCTTAAAACTATTACTGAAAAACTAAATCAAAAATTAGCATAAAAATAGTAAAACAAATGACTGCCCAACTCACTTCTTCAGTGAATTTACTAATGCATCCACCAATTCTCCCATGATGTTATTTATATCAGCACAATTTAAGATAGGCAAGAAAATGGTAAGTGAGCACCTGTCCAGCCTAGACGAGTTCAAATCGCCAGGACCAGATGGATTACACCCCAAAGTTCTCAAGGAACTGGCAGATGTGATTTCAGAACCACTGAATTATATTTTTCAAAGACCCTGGAGCACTGGGGAACTACCAGAGGACTGGAAAAGAGCTGATGTAGTTCCCATCTTCAAAAAAGGAAAAAAAAAATAGATCCAGGAAACTACAGACCTATCAGCCTGACCTCAATACCTGAGAAGATTCTGGAACAGATAATCAAGCAATGAATCAGCGAACACCTACAGGCAAACAAAGTCATTACCAAAAGCCAACATGGGTTTGTCAAAAACAGATCATGCCAGACAAATCTTATTGCATTCTTTGACCAGGTGACACAATTAGTGGATCAGAGGAATGCTGTGGATATAATTTACTTGGACTTCAGTAAGGCTTTTGATAAAGTAGACCACAACTTATTACTCGATAAGATAGAAAAATGTGGATTAGACAGCATCACCACCAGATGGATTTGTAGCTGGCTGACCAGACATACTCAGCTTGTGATCCTCAATGGAACTGCATCTACATGGAGGGAAATGTGTAGTGGGGTGCCCCAGGGCTCTGTTCTGGGCCCAGTGCTCTTCAACATCTTCATCAATGATGAGGGGATAATGGGGAAATCATCAAATTTGCAGACGACACCAAGCTGGCAGGAATAGCCAATATTCCAGAAGACAGGAGTAATTAAGTATATTAAGATACAAAAGGACCTGGACAGACTTGAACACTGGGCACTATCTAACAAAATGAAATTCAGTGGTGAAAAAAGTAAAGTTCTACATTTACGCAAGAAAAACCAAATGAACAGGTATAGTATAGGGGGTACCTTGCTCAATAGTAGTAACTGTGAGAGGGATCTCGGAGTCCTAGTGGACAATCACTTAAATATGAGCTAGCAGTGTGCTGCAGCTGCCAAAAAAGCCCACACAATGCTAGGCTGCATTAACAGAGGGATAGAATCAAGATCCCGTGAAGTGTTAATACCACTTTACAATGCCTTGCTAAGGCCACACTTGGAATACTGCATCTAGTTCTGGTCACCACAATGTAAAAAAAGATGTTGAAACTCTAGAAAGAGTACAAAGAAGAGCAACAAAGATGATTAGAGGACTGGAGACTAAAACATATGAGGAACGGTTGCTGGAATTGGGTATGTCTAATTTAATGAAGAGAAGGATGAGGGAGGACATGATAGCAGTGTTTGAATATCTCAGGGGTTGCCACAAAGAAGAGGGAGTCAAGCTATTCTCCAAAGCGCCTGAAGTCAGGACGAGACGCAATGGATGGAAACTGATCAAAGTGAGAAGCAACTTAGAACTAAGGAGAAACATCCTGACAGTTAGAACAATTAATCAGTGGAACAACCTGCCTCCAGAAGCTGTGAATGCTCCAACACTGGAAGTTTTTAAGAAGAGACTGGACAGCCATTTGTCTGCAATGATATAGGGTTTCCTGCCTGAGCAGGGGGTTGGACTAGATAACCTCCAAGGTATCTTCCAACATCATCATCATCATTATTATTATATTATTATTATTATTGATCATCGCACAGTAAGCCAGATGTTCATACTGGATTTGGCATTTTGTCTCCCTATTGAGTCCTTACCAAGGACCTGGGATAGGCAGATGTGGATGTTTGATGGTATTGCAAATATCGTCGCAGGATAGAAGCAGTTCCTAGTAAGGCTGCCTTTTGTAATTGACTAATGGCGAATTTGTCAATGCCAATGGTGTTCAAGTGATGCTCCAGTTGTTTTGGGATTGCACCCAAGGCCCCTATTACTATTGGTACTACCCTTGCTTGCTTTTGCCACAGTCTTTCTATTTCTATTTGTAGTCTTTGTATTTTGTTATCTTCTCCAGTTCTTTCTCTTCTATTCTGCTGTCTCCAGGCACTGCCACGTCCACTATCCAGACTTTTTTGTCTTTCTTATCGACAATTGTTAAGTCTGGGGTGTTATGTTGCAGGTGCTTGTCAGTTTGAATTCTGAAGTCCCAGAGCAGTTTAATTTTATCATTTTCTATGACTTTCTCTATTTTATGATCCCACCAGTTTTTGCTTACAGGCAAATGATATTTCTTGCAGATCTTCTATTATTATTATTAAGATAAAATCAGAGTTTTAACATCAGAATCTAATGGGAGGTAGTCTTTATTTCCAACTTGCTTAACTTATCTCCTCTCTCTTGCAACATATGTGGTTTTAGCAGCTTTTTGTAATGTTTTTAATTGCAACAATTTATTAAATTACAATATTTTATTTTAAAAACAAATATTTGATAGGAATAAAAATCTACAGATTTTGGTTTATCTCTACTATAGGTCTTTGCTGAACAATTTGGTTTGAAAGCAAAAGGTCCAGTAAAAATGTTTATCATAATTTAACTTTCAAAATACTCAGAATGAACAATCACAACTGAACTGGACTTTCCCAAGCTTAACTTTTCATATGAATGTTTGGCTCCGTTATTAATGCTATGCTATTCTTCCTCAATTCTCACCATCGAGTTTCTTCAGTTTGGGCACTCGCTTGGTTGCCTCCTCAACCCAGGCGCTCTGCGAATCAGCAGAGTATTTCTCTTCTAGTGGATTGCCCACAAACACCAGGTCCTCCAGTAACGGTAACTCTGCCAACCTCACAAACTCTGCTGCATCCATTTAGGGATATAATCAGAAAGAAAAAAAGTTACTATGAAGAGGGAAAAAATTTCCAACTTCAAAACCAAAAGGCATGGGTGCCTGCATGGAGATAAAGTCATCACATCATCACTGGAATTAACAGAGCTTATTTTATCTGCCTGATAATATCATGTGTGGCTTAACATGGCTTCTACCAAATGCCCATGTCAGAAAGGCAGGGAGATGTTAAGACAATAATTCACGTACTGCGAATGTGGACAATTCATTTAATGTGCAATATTTCACTACCTCTGGTTTGAACTTTTCGGGTTTTTAGTTCTGGTTCTCAAACAGCTGTGCCATTCAATCAAACACAGAAATTATTTTTTTTATATAATTAAGATGTGTGTTCATCAATGAGGTAGCAAAAGTGCTAATAAACAATGTTCTGCTTCTCTGTGTGGCTCCTCACAGATCACCTGTTAACAATTCCTTAAAGCAGCAGATGTGTCTTTCCTCAAGATTACCTGGCTACTCTCTACAGCTGGAAAAGTCATGTTTGGGGTTTGGTGCTGTTGACAGATACCAGTTGCACATCCACGGTCACTCTACAACACACCCACAAAAATGTTTCAGAGCACGCATGGGAATGCAAGCAGTACTCTTGAAATTCAAAGCACCATACCATCCTAAAAGTTACTATGTGCCCATGAAGATGTTTGTCCACCTCATCAGAATTGCAAGCCCAAGGTAATTGATCAGAGGTTGCTAGATCAGCTGCATTTATAGCACAAATATGTCTCATTATCTAGAACAGTGGTTCTCAACCTGTGGGTCGGGACCCCATTTGGGGTCGAACAACCATTTCATGGGGGTCGCCAAACAATGCAGTCTGCCATTTTTTTTCCCCTTTTCCTTAGCTGTGCTACTCCCTTTTATTCTATTGGCTTTCAAAACCCAATAGGAATTGTCCAGGCTGTCTCTGTCCTGCTGAGCCCACCAAAAGTCCCATTCTGCAAACGGTGCTGCACCAGTTGAGTAGTCTTCAACTTACGACCAATTGAGTAGTCCTTGACTTACAACCGGTTGGGGGTCACGGCATTAAAAAGGTTGAAAACCACTGATCTAGAATATGGTATTCCAAAAGTAGTCCAGCTAATGTAGATAATCTGGTATATTTCTGTTGTAATAATTACCAGGTGAAATTGCATACGTGGAGCTGGCTTGGAAGATTATAGAAAACACAACTTTCACTTAGCAACAAATGGAAGTCCATAGCTGCACTTAACGTTAACAGGTATGTGTATGGAACACATTGTGCTGCTGATACAATTTAATCTTTTTATTCTGAAGTTTATTTATTAAGTAATTTATTAATCAAATGTATATCAAATTTATTAATCAAATGTCCATCTCATGAGAAATGACGCTGGGCAGTGTACAATAGTCAATAGTCAAGTTCACATGATAAGATAACTGCAGCACATAATGAGGCAGTTTAGTGTAGCAGCTAAAAGCACCAAGGAAGTAAAATGATCAATATGTTTCAAAGCAGACCTGATGACATTGTCTTACCCCAATCTTTCACCAGATTATTGGACATGTAGAGAATCTTCAGCTTCTTCATCACATGGAGACCTTTCAACTTCTCAACACAGTTGTATGAGATCCACAGTTCCTCTAATGTATCCCCAACTGCTTCCTGAAAGACAATAATGTTCTGAGGAAAATGTTCTATTACTATCAGAAGCTTTTAAATTAGAAAAGCAAAAAAATAAAATAAAAAATAAAAATAAAAATTGTATGACTCTTTACTTCCCTACCAGTGCATAAATTGAGGTAAATTTAAATTTAAAAAAAATTATAGCGTTGAAAGAAAAACTTCGTTCTATATATATCCAAGTTGGGGAGAGGATCATAAGAGGAATCCACAGATTCCAAAGCCTTCTAGATTACACCAACCAGGCAAGAGTCATGTCAGGCAACTTCCTTGGGATTTTAGCCTGTTCTAGACCAGTGTTTCTCAACCTTGACAATTTTAAGGCATGTGGACTTCAACTCCCAGAATTCCACAGCCAGCATTGCTGGCTGTGGAATTCTGGGAGTTGAAGTCCACATGCCTTAAAATTGTCAAGGTTGAGAAACACTGGTCTAGACTGATATATTTGAGAGTTCTGATCTGCTAAGACATTAATTTGTTGCAAGAAATAACTTAATTTTTATGAGACAGAAGGTATTCTGAATTAGAATTCAGCAGTGATAGATTGGACAAGAATAATAAACAATCCAGATAATTAACGGTGCTTCAGAGAAGTTGAACTTCCCCAAAAATCAGGTTCATAGTGTAAGTGCTGTTGATTTCATTATTTTGGTGCAGACATACATATTTATCATGCACCATTTAACAATTTAGCAGATATACTAACTGTGACTTGCCTTGATAGATTGTTGCTGCGACTGCTTTCTGGCAATGTGTAATTGAATTATTGCAATGCAAGAAATAAAGAATGAAATTTCCCATATGGCAGCAATGTTAAATGGAACTAGTTGATCAAATGATTGTGTTATCTGCATTAGCTGCCAGTCATAACTGGATCTTAAGCAGCGGTGGGATTCAAATATGTGAACAACCGGTTCTCTGCTTCCAGAAGTCCATTCTGGGCCTGGACAACAAAAAATTAGCTACTGGTTCTGCTGAAGTGGTGCAAACCGGCTGAATCCCACCACTAATCTTAAGGTATATTTTGAAACCCTTCTTGAGCAGCTCCACTAAGTGAATTGAACTGTACGGCTACTTAGTGAGATGTTGTTGATGACTGTGACTAGCTGTGAAAAACTATTTGTGGACCTCATATATCCTCTTGACATGAGGTAGATATCTTATAATTCTTCATGAATCTGTGGTTCTTCAAGATCTTTTTAACTTACACAGTATTGTTGATTTTATTCAATATTTGTCCCAACAAACTAATATCCACTACCTGCACTGATGCTCTTACTGTTATTATGAGAAGCAACTATCTCATCAAGATTACATACCAGCCCATTCAGATTTTTTATGTTGTTCCTTCCCAATGACAATATCCGCAAGTTTTCTGTAATAGAAACAAACTTGTTTTTCTACATTATTAGTTAAGAAATACTATAACCATCCAGAAGCTTTGAAAATTGGGCAGCATATACATTAAACAAACAAACAAACAAACAAATACCCAGTGCATGATACTTAAGAATAATGCAAATCAGTCCAGTTGGTCCAAAAAAATGTGTGTGTTGATTCCCGCTGACTCCTATCCCTGCAGTTCTCTTGGCAAGATTTTTGGATGTGGTTTGCCACTATTTCTTTCCTAGGGCTGAGAGAAAATAACTGGCCCAAGTCACCCAGATGCCTTTGTGTCTTAGGTGGGACTAGAATTTGCATTCTCAGTTTCTAGCCTGGTGTCATATTCACTACACCTAACTGTTAAAGAAAAAAAGTATTTGAATAGAAAAAAGAGAATAAAAATAGATATTCACCACTGGACAGGTGCTACTTAGAAATGTCTTGTGGTTGCTTTAACTGTACTTTAGATTTTTGGTAACTGATTCAATCAAAAGCAAGATTTTCAGGCTACTTTAACAATATTTACTAAAAGGGTTAAGAGGTAAGGTTACAGAAATTTCAGCAATTGCATTATAGTACCTAAACGTCAGAGCCCAATTATCTTATATTTCATTAAGAGAGAGTCTTTTTCACTTCCTTGTTAATGGCTTCACTGTGAACCAGAGAGCTGGCTGTTCTTTTCGCAAATAATGGAGGAATTAACAGACAGTGGAGTTTTCCGAATCATTTCCTGAATCTTTCTCATGCTCTGAACATATTATTATACAGAGAGCCATAAGCTCAAGTCATGTAATAAGCCAAAATAATCAACTTCCTCATTAACATACTGAATTGTGCATTTGTGGATTCATGACATGGCTAGAGGCGACAGATGACAAGCTTCCTAAGAGGTTAAAACAATTGAAGTAAATATTTTTTAAAAAACAATCAATTCATTTTAAGTAGAAAAAGTTATAATGAATATCTTGAAAAACACCCCAAGTTTTTTTTTCAACAATGTCACAAGCCTATTTCAAATGATGCAAAAGGTTATCAGTGCAAAAGGCTATCATTCAATCAGTAGTCAAATAAATCAAACAAGATAATATTGTACTGCTTATATTGTTTTCAAATAAAGCTTGATTTTCAAATTAACTCTATTTGGCTGCACAGTAAGACAGATTAATAAGAATAGTTATTACTATCAGCCTAAATCAATCCAAAGCAGGAGAAAAATCTTTCATTAAGAATTATAGGAACAATATTTTTTAATTTATTTATCCAATTTATATCCCAACTTTCTATCCAACTGAATATTTAAGGTCTCTGCTTACATAGTGTACTAAAAAAGGAGACCTCTCTATCTTTGTAGTATAAGATACATACAATAAGTTATTTTCTATAAATAGAATGAGGAACAAAATTGATAAGGTAGCATAAGCAAGTGTGACATATATAAACTCCATTTCTAGAATCGTGGTTTACCAAAGTTTGAGAAAGGAGAAATAGTTAAAATGCAATATGTTCATTATTACTTACTTAGCCCATTTAAGTTGGCAATTTTTTCAATGCAGTTTGTAGATAAAGACAATTTTCTTGAAACAAAGAAAAAAGAGGAGGTTATATTAATTGTAATTCAGTAATGATTGAAGATTTGTAAGCGCTTTGTGACAACTATTATTGGGGGAAGATAGGAACTGAAGAGGCACTATGACACTATTACTGAAAGTTAACTGCTCAATACAGACTAAAAGGCAAATAGCTCAAAACTTCTACATTTCAAAGCAGAAAACAGAGCTCAGGTTTTAATATGATTAATTCAAATCATGATGTGGCATTATATCAATTAAGCCAACTGAACATGATAATGTTGTTCAAAAGAGTAATGTTCAAAAAAATGTTTAATGTTGAAATTGAGAAATTGGAGGGGCGATGTGCGGGGGAATGATGGTGACCATGTGCCAAAACATACCTGTGGAAATCTCTCCACTCTGAGAGATAGTGGGGGGGGGGGACAACTATTTATGTAGGCAATCTCTCCTGTACCAGACTAGTTCCTCCCCTCTTGAAGAATGAAGAAACTGGAGAGGAAAGGATTCCAAGAGAGTAAGAACAGCCACAACGAGGAATTCTCTGGGCTGTTCTGCATACTGCATTTGCAGTTGCCAACATCTGTGCATTAAATTTATTTGCTGCCTCGAGGAACTCCATGAGATAAGCGGCAAATAAATTTAACAAAGTAATAAAATTGCTTTCAATGTGTATTTTGTGTGTTTGCTTACTCTCTTGTAATCCCTTCCTCTCCAATGAATGTAAATACAAACATTAATTCCGTTCTTGTTAATTATTCCAGTTGGAGCTAGCATTCCAAAAGGCAAAGGAATGGTTAAGAGGCAAGCAAAACTGAAGGCGTAAAACTATTTAGTCCTGTCAGTTTCAAGCTGAATATAGAGCATTGTCCAGTGAGCTGGAACAGGAAAGTACAGCCCCAGTCATGTGTTTTCTCACTTAGTGACTCTTTCACTTAACAATAGAGTTGCTTAGTGATGGAGTTGCCAGCCCCAATTGTCACTAAATGAGAACTACCTGTACTGCTGAAAGCACAAACCCATGATACATTTATTTTAATATTCAGGACCTACTCGCAGTTAACAAGAGTGGAAAGAGAAGCATCCATCTTTTCTATAGGGGGAATCTGAGCATAGAGTTTCACTTCCTTGGCCTCTGATGGCTTCTGACCAGTTTTTTCTTCCTAAAGTAAAAAAGAATAATAAACAACAGCTTCCTCAAAATTTAGAGAATAATCATTCTAATCTACTCAGAGAAAAAGAAATGAACTCCTTTTAAACAGATATGCTATCACCTTCTCAATCACTGAGTGTGATTGTTAGGGGTTTTTTTTTTTTTACCCCTAGGCTGGAGTGAACTTTGGTGTGGAATGGTAACTGTAGAGTATTTCAGGTCAGAATTAAACTGCTGTTAGTAAAAGATTTAAGGGAGGATGATTAAGACTTGCAACTAGAGTGAACTCAATACTAGCACTGCTACTACTGAAGCTGGTTAGCACATGTCTGTCTCTGAGACAGCCTCTACACAACCCCATCCCCTTTCAGTTCAAATGTGCTCCTTTTGAGTTTTGGCATCAGTTTCAAAGTAACATAAGGAGAGAAAGGAATCTCCTCACCCCCTTTTCAGATCTACCCCTTTCAGGTTTTAAAAAAAAACACTTTTCTTTGCCTGTCACAAAAGAGAATTTCTCTATATGTGTTTGATTCTTCCCATCAAAAATTATCTGCATAGAGATAGTGATACCACTGCTATGCTGCTTCTTAGATGCAATCACAAATTTTAAAGACTTTTTCTTTTTTAAATCTTTAAGACCTCTCCTCTACTTGCCTCCATTTCATCCATTCAATCTCCCGTATAAAAATGACTCTCCTAAACAACTATGAGAAAAGGACAAGAGCTTTTGGAGGGAGGATGATAGTTAGAGGGAGGGCCAAATCACTATTCAAGGGCCAGGGAAGAAATTGGCTATTAATGGTATGATAGCTCTCCCTATGGTATTGTGTGCTATTACCTATTAAAAGCTGAATTCACAGCTGAATATAGGGATAAAGCTCTTCCCTCACGCATGCTGAAGTAAAAGTGGACTGAATTTGTACCCCCTTAATCCATTTTCTCTTAGGGTTGAGGATAAAAAGGAAGAAGGTGGTTATGGAGGTGACCTAAAGGAACCAGTGGAGTAATGGGTCCAGTGAGCATACGGGGTCCAAAGGTAAGCTAGTAGGGTAGTCTCCAAACATGAGCTTGAAGAGCCAGGGAATTATTGTCCACACCATTGTAAAACACAGATAAATAGGGAAGAAATCACCAATTGTCTTTTAAGCTTTGGAATGCTGTAGCACCTGACCTGACCAGAACATTGAAATATTAAAGTTTTGTTCTGAACACAATATACAACAATCAGTTTTGAGTTTTCATTTGCTCATATGCCACCAACATGGAATATTCCAATAGATTCGGGGGGGGGGGGTTGTTTTGTTCTTAGCTGGATACAAAATACATTTCCTGTTTTCTCCATGCTCTTACTTGTACCAATCACGCATTTCTAATCCCCATTTTTCAGCATTCTATCTCTGAGCAATTAACTAAATCCATGTACTTACCGTTCCCAATATTTCTACTTTTCTTTATTACTCTATACAACTTCAATTTCACTAAGGTTCTCTGTAACTTATTCTGAGATATGCAGCCCAATAATCAAAGCACTTTACTGCTTCTCTTCCCACTTTGTTAATAAAGCTTTCCCAAACATTTCTACCATTAGCTGTTTATCCACTACATTTGTTCCCTTTATTATGTATTAACAAAGCTTGATTTTTTATGAGTTCTTGAAATGGCTTTTAATATATGTTCCTCATACAATGATTATGGAATGTCTATAAGAGGCATTTTTCAGCTTATAGTCAGTGTTATATCAATATTAAATGTACAGAAGTACATTTGCAGTTCAACTACTAAATAAGCTAAAAAGTTTGATTACATAGCTTTTCTGGGTTCCTTGAAAACAATTGTTTTGCATGAACTAAAAAAAAAGCACAATGAAAATCACTTTTCTTGATAAAGAAAATCCATCTAATTAAGAACACACAATATATTTTCTACTTACCCATTTAGCTAGAGCTTCCTTGATAGTTGTTGCTTTTGCCTAACAAAAAAACCCCAACAACATATAAATAAAATGTAATAGATTTATATAACCCGCTAATTGTCTGGCTTTATCATTTGTTTCTTTGCCTGCTAAGATTTATACCCTGCTTTTCCTTCAGGAGCTCATGAAGTCATACAAAGCACTCTAGTCCATTTTCCCCCCACAAAACAGTTCTATGATTGAACTAAGTTGGGCTGAGAACGACTGGCTCAGTCAGCCAATGAGCTCTGTGGCAGAGGGTGGATCTGAACATTGGTCTCTTCAGTCCAAGTCCAATGCTTTCACCAGTGTACCACACTGACATTAATTAAATTAAGTCTTGATCAAGGAGGGGATCCGTTTAATGAGTATTTACTATTTTATTCTGGCCCTAGGTTAAAAGTCCTATGAACTTCATCTATACCAGTGGTTCTCAACCTGTGGGTCGGGACCCCATTTGGGGTCGAACGACCATTTCATGGGGGTCGCCAAACAAGGCTGTCCACCATTTTTTTCCCCTTTTCTTTGGCCACGCCCCTGGCACCCGGGATGTATAAGTGGTTGGGGGTCATTACAACATGGGGAACTGTATTATGGGGTTGCGGCATTAGAAAGGTTGAGAACCACTGGTCTATACAATGGAATCAATGGAAAATTTTTAAAAGAAGAAGAACCTGTTCATTTTAGCTTATGTGAGCTAGAGAAATTAGAGCTGGCAGATAATTTTCTACTTTAGTCTCCAACCTTACACCATCTAATGAATATGGGACCTTTTTGAGCCATCATTGCTCTTTTCAAACAGTTCAAGAGCCGGCATGTACAGAAAAGAGCAGGGCCTGAGGAAAAGTGGGTAGAGCCTGGGAAGAACTGAACAAGTATTTGCTATGGGTATTATTTATAGTGGCATACTTATTGATTCTACTGTTATTACCAATTTCACTCAGCCTCACATCACTTATTTTTTATTGTTTGTATGGATGCATCTATTAAAATAAAATCTGTCAAAGGCTAATGTTAGTCACTTAACAAACTCAGCAGTTGCTCCTTAAATTTCTCTCTCTCTCTTTCTCTCTCTCTCCCTCTTCTTGGCAGCAAAAATTCTGCCTGTGAACTTCTGCTATAATAGACAGCACCATGGACTACAATCAAAAAGGGCACTGCTGGGGCTCCATGTGATAAAAGAAAAGCAGCTGCAGTAAACTATAAGCTAGTGGGTGCTGGCAGAACATCCATGACACAAAAAAATAATCATAACATTCAAAGAGCCCATTAAGTATGATATCTCAGCTCAGGAATCTAAATATACAACAAAGGCTGCCTAATTTCTGTTTGAACATAATCAAGAAGAGGGAGCTGATTACTGCTTTGGTAATTGGGTACTTTGGTAATTGAGATATTTGAAATTTTATTATATTCTCCCTCACTCTTTTTTTTTCAAGGTTATAGGAACCCAGCTCCTTTAATCTCTCTTCATGGGATTTAATTTCTCATTCTGTGATAATCTCCATTCCCCTTCCGTTAATATTCCAGGTCTCTATAACCTTAAGTATGGTGGCCACTATGGGTACATTCCACAATTTTGCTGCATCTATTAAGCCATATCTGTCTTTCTGTATTATGAGTTCAAACTCCCTGAGTTTCTTGCTCCTTGAGCAGTTCTGTAAGAAATAATGAAAGATATGAATTATGTGATTCAATGTGTTTTCTGATTTTTCGTTGGATGGTATCAGAGGACCTATTAGAGCAACAGTTTAGTAATTTAGTTTCTTTCTATACTTCATGATTCTTTATCTGAAATTCTTCCTCCAGGATTTTTATCTCTAATGTTATTTTTTGACAAGAAATACATATTAACATGTAACAACCCTACTGACAGAAAAGGTCAGTCCAACTTCATGTTCAGAATAATCTATACAAAATTAAAATTGTAGCAATGCTGTTTCTTACATTTAAACCATCCAAAATTAGCTGAAACACTGTTTATTTTATAGGGTTCATCTAACAGTGCTATATTTTTATATGGAAAATTGTGATTCAATTTCAAAAACACTATAAAGACAAGTACCAGGATAAGGCTATATGGTTCACAGATATTAAGGAATAAAAATGACATATTTTCAGTAAAGCATGAATAAAACTACCTAGGAATTATAGTGACTTTATCCTTGATGCTTTTATTCACTGAAAGGATAACATTATGTACATGAGATGCAAACCTTCGCTCTTTACATTTAAATGTTGCTATTTTTCTATTCTCCCTAAAGAAAACTTCTGTGAAAGAAAAAAACATTGCATAATTCTGCATAGAAGCTATGGTAGCACAATATATACTTCCTTTGTGAAAAGTTTATAAGTAGCTATGCAAAAAGTAAAAGAAATTGAGGACAGAATATTAAATGATTTGTAACACAAAATATTTTAGCAACTTTACATCCAGTTAAGATGCTTTTCTCTACTCAGGCTAGACTGCAAATTCTTAACAGCTAATGAAATAACTTCATTCTATGAAGTGTCACTCATTTATAATAGATAATCTGTAGCCTTAAAAGAGCTTACTGAGATTTTTAAAGTGCAAGATGAAAAGGCTTCTCTAGCTTGGTCTAGTTTTACATGTAGCTTTAGGTATTATACTGTCGCAATCAAAACCTATGTTATTCCCTCTTAAGAAGAAACAGAAATAGTAATGTATATATGAAAAGAAAGAATATCTGGTCAATCTATGTATGAAATATTGAATAAATACTAATCATAAGCCAGAAAAACAGTATTTAAATTTACCATGTAGATACATATTAAGTATGGTTTGGAAAATTTCAAACTCTTTAATGTAAATTCTCTGTCATGGTTTTAAAGCATTTATTTACCATTCTACTGAAGGTGATTTCCGATATTCAGACAACCCTTACAATTTGCATTAATTATGCAGATCACTCTTCAAATGAGCACCCTGCCTATGGGAAAAAATTAAGATTATATTAGATTTCAACCATCACGAAGACCTCCGAAGTAAAGGCAAAAATAAAAAAAAAATTGTCGCTTTTTAACATTCTTGAATCTCTTTTCAATCAGAACTCAGAAATTAATTACCTATAGCTTTGTGCAAAAGATAAACATTTTCAATTAAAGAATTCTGAGCCCAGAATTTTTTCACACAGAAATGAAATCCAAAGCCCTTCCACATAACAATTTATTCCTAATGCTCAAAATTCCTTCTTTATAGTTGTATTAGTAGGAGAAAATTTTTGCTTAACAAGCAATAGGTCAAAATCCTTGCTGCAGATGTCTGCGAGTAAACCAAATGTGCCTTTTGCTTATTACTGTCCTATTACACTTATTGTGACATACTAGCTGGGATTCCATAAAAGTAAACTTATTTGGGTTTTTGTTCTAGAATTCTTAGAGTCATCAGACCCTCTTGAATAGTGGAGGAAGTGGTGCAGGAGGCTGAAGTGGCAGGTAGCAATCAGCAAATCTTCTTCCACTTTCCATCAACAGTGGGTTCTAAGGGGAATTTGTTGTTGTTGATGGAACAATGCACAACTCTTGAGGTGCCTAGCCTTTTTTTTAACTAATTTCACTAAAAAAAGTGAAATTAGTAATAAAAAAATAATAAAATAATAAAAGAACCCACTGCTGATGGAAAGTGATGGAAAGTAAAATAAAGAACTGTGAGAACTGAAAACTGTAAACCTTTTTAAAGGTTCAGTTCCCCTCTTTGTTCACACTTTTCAGTTCTCTCAGTTTTCTATTTTTTGCTCTTTGAGGGAGATCAGAGGAAGTGGCTACTATCTAATCAAGCATTATGCCCCAATGTATACTTAGGCGTCTCTAACACACCACCACCGCCTCTCTTTGTAATCCCTCACACAATTCTCCAGACTAAATCATTACATGCTGTAGTAGATGAAAAGGGAAGATTGCAGGGATGAAGGGAGATGTTGAGACTTCAACTCACATGACTGGTGGCGGTCATTTGCTCCTCTACTGTACCCTTGTGTGAGAGAGGCTGCACCCACTGTTGGAACTTCTTCCCTAAAACTTGTAAAAGCTCTCACAATCTCCCGTGGATCCAGTACCTTCCCACTCCACAAGTCGGTTTCCCACAGGCCTCTTTGGCCTCTCATTCCCCCAAGGGATCTCCTCTCTCCAGCAATGTCCGAAACCTGTTGCTCCAGCGACCCTGTCTTTCCTCCAAAGCTCCCTCTCTCTTGCCAGAACATTCCCCGTTGCTGTTGTTGCTCCCTTCTCTCCACCAGCCATCGCCGCTATTTATACTGTTGCCTTACTACGACTACCAGCCAGCCGGCCAATTAACGCCCCCCCCCACGGCCCCTTCCCAAAGGAGCACCCCTCCCTCCGCCTCTTCTTCACCCGGGCCTCTCTTCTTCTTCTTCCCCCGGTAGCCCTCGAAGGAACTCACCATTGTTAAGATTCCAGTTGCTACCGTCTCCAGCCCTGGTTGCTATGGCAAGCGAAATCCACGCGCATGCTCACCTGAAAGCTGGGGAAAAAAAAGGCGACAGACACGTGAGCAAAAGCAAAATCAACAACCGGATCATAGAGATTCCCTCTGAAAACAGGGGGGCTTTTCACTCAGGAGTCTCCCCCTAGGGGCCGGGAGGGGGGGGAAAGATCATATTGCTAAACGAGCGTTGATTTCCATGGTTTTGTTCTTCAGCAGGGGAAGATTGGGGCGCAGTGCGTCCTATACAAGCGGGATTTGAGGCGTTGAACCACGCTGACCGTAGCAGTTCAGTTTAGCTCTTTTCGAAAATTGAGACGTATTGTATGATCGTATTTGTGTGCATGCGTGAATGGGTGGAATAAATAAGCGATAGCAGAATGTGGCTGTCCTTCGCGGGTAGAGGACCTTCTCGTGACTTGTCCTTATCAAGGGAAGAAAGGACAAAAATTGTCGTTCGGAGACATGCCATGATTGGAGTTCTTTGATGCCACGATCATCCGGATTTTTATACTCCAAATATGACCTCCTTGGTTCACTGAATAATTTTACCTGTTTTCATATTGGATTTCCATTTTCGTCAGAGTGGTCAGAGCAACATCTGTTTACAGAGGAGTGAAATCCAGTGCTTTTTAGTGATCTGAAGTTGTTGCACATTTCCCCAAATGTAGAAGCAAGGATCGTTTTTTTCAACAACCAACCAAACATTTCCTGGCTAAAAATAAATTCCAGAGCAGAAATTGTATTGGGCTCTTCCAGCTGCAAGGAAAAACAGAACTGTGTTGGCACCCTAACATTTATGAAAAATCATTTCTGAACCACTTTTCAATTAACCAGGTGCACTTATCAGTATCAGATACACCATGTTATGTACACACATGATAAAGTGGAGAACCAACAGTTACAATTATGTTAAATAACACTGAAGGCTCTTAAACAATAGTTCTTTCAGGTGGGCCTAGATACAGTGACCTGTCATCCTGTTGATACTGGGATTTTTTTTTTGTTCTTGCTGTTTCCCGATACAGTAAGAAATACTTATAATACTTTCTTCTAGCTATTTCATTGTTTTAATATGCTGTGTGCCACATAGTTGACCAAGGTAGCTTTCAAGCTGAACAAATACTACTGGATTTCAGTACATCACAATTTTGTTCAAATTCCAGAGCCCTGAACTGGGATAAAATATTGTATCTACTTGTTTGAATTTACAATGTCTTTGCCATTAGTAACTACGGTGTGAATGGTTTTGTTTTCTGAGCTTTAATATGAGTTGGGGATAATACATGTTGTTACATATAATTTGTTCCTGATGACACTGTTATTATAATACCCCTTTCAACTTTGGAAGAATTGCTGGTTTAATTTTAGAAGATGTATTTTTTCCCAGTAGAAAAGTAAGTATGTTTATGCACTAAGTTATTGAACTTAGGTGTAATTTTACAAAGTACTAGGCAAGCTGTGAACCATCAGGTTATTGTTTCAGTGATATTTTCTTATCAGATTCCTCAGTACCTTCAACAATGACAGTTTCTAATGTACTGCCTTTACCCGAAAAAAATCTGAAAAATTCAGGGAGAAATTCAGAGATGTATCTGCCTTGAAGGTAGCTCATGTTGAACTGTATAGCACAAACATAAGGAATTGGTCCCTTGAAATGATTTATGGTATTTTGCAGTAAGTCATATTTTGCAGAATTTGTCAAATTTCATTTCCACGGGAGTCATAGGTTCTGGATTTTGGATGCATTCTGTAAGTTAGCTCACTTGAGGTTCAAAATGTTTGTTCAAATATTGTTGCCCTACAATATACAGTTTTGTTCTGGTAACGGTTACACACAAACAAGAGAAGTTTACTAATATATAGTGTTTGATAAATTGCAATAAAATGTAGTTTAAGGAATATAGCTTTAGTAATACTGTATACTAAACATTAAATGTTTGACAATTTAGTCTTAAAACCATTATAAATGTCAATAATATGCACAGAAGTTACAATATAGTTTTTGTCACTATAGTGATTTGTGATAGAGCATCCTATAGTGAACACACTATAAAAACTGACATGCTCTAAACATTTTAATGGGATGGTTCTTATATTTTGGAAGTACATTTTAGTTAAAATTGCAAATTCTAGTCTTAGTAAAATTTGAAACTGTACAATGCTTTCTATTATTTCATTGTTTTAAAAAATCTGATTCCAACTAAAGATTTTGGCAGTTTTGGCAAGATTGATTTTGGCTAGATTCACACATAAGCTATAATATATCTTGGAGTGTTATAAAAACAGGTATCTGTGTTATAAAAGCCAGTATAATTTGAGTAGCAGCTAAAGAAAAGTTGCCATCTTTCATATTAAATTGGCTAATGCACTTTGGAGGTGACTTTATGTATCATTGTAAATCATAATACCCAATTCTCATTTAAGTGTTCTCTATTCAAGTAATAATACAGTATTTGCTATGTGTGCTGAAGTTATATTACAAAACATAAAATTTCCAGAAGGCAGAAAATAGTTATATTTTGGATATGTGATTTCAAAATGGCAGAAGTTGTACTTGGCGCAGCTGGCAATGTATAATTTGTTGCAGTGCTTTAGGAGTTAACTGGTATTTGTAACACTATAAACAAAGCCATTCTTCATTCCAGTACTCTAGATTATATTTCTAAAAATATACTTTTGGCCATTCCATCTGTACTAACCTTAATTTTGTTATCTATACTGTTCATAATATAACCCAAAGCATATATTTTATATGTTATCATTGCCCATCCTTCTTGTTCAGTCCCTGACTATTTCTTTGTTTTCTTTGAAACTTTTTTTCTCAATTTGTTTCAGTATTCAACCATCTGTCTGCTCGTCTGATCTCAAGTGCAAATTCAGGAACTCAAGAATCTTCCCCCAAGAATGTTCCTGGGCATAAGCATGAGCTTTGTTCTCTCCACCGCTCAGAATAGGCACCCCTAGAACACGGTCTAAAGCTACCAGGCAAACAGGAAAAAAAGATGGATTAATTCGATGGCCTGTTCCAGGGTAACTCAAGAGTTTAAAATTGGCCTTCTTATGCTGGTGTAGGCATGTAGTAGCTATTTCAGCATACAAGGAGCTCTTCCAATTGTGATCATCCTCTCCAACCACAAAAAGGAAATGGCCTTCTGCCTTTTCAATGGGAATCCGGGACTGTGAATTGGCTGGATTCCTTGGGTCATCCAAAGCTTCGTAAATATCAAATATTCCATTGTCCAAAATTTTGATCCTGCTCATATTAAAGCAAAGTCCAGGCAGGGTCTGTTTTCCATAATGAAGGGCAGTGGCAGTGATGGAGCTGCAGCCAGAAATGCAGACAGCAGCCACCACTTCTGGAAGGAAAGTCACCATTGACAAAGCCAGTTCTCCTCCTTTCCCAGTTCCAATAACACCAATTCCTGGTTTTTTAACCTTCATGAATGAAACAGCATGGGTTAAATTATGGAACAGAATTAAAAAGAATACAATGTTTTATTAACTGTTTTCAAAAAGATATTTATTCTATAAATTATGCTAAATGCCACTGAACATCTCAGACTAATTTGTTAAAAATACTAAGTAATAAAGAAACCTCAATGAGTAAAAGCTTAGTATATTTATAATAGGACCGTATAATGTATCTCTTTTTCAAAATAAAAATTAAAAAAATATATCTGCTCCCTCAAAAGTTGCTTTTCTATTTTGTATTACATACTGCTTTGATAAATTCCTATATATTAAATTATTGTTAAGGCTAACCTACACAAATTCTCTTCAAAATATTCTGAATGAAAATTTATGAGCAAAAGTATAAGGAAAGTAGAGTTGTTCTCCTCTACCCTATTCCTGTGTTAGGGGTGGGGTAGGGGAAAACAACTGTACTTTGTTCAGAAAATGGATATCTTTGTGTGTGATTAAATCTGTATAATATGCTGTGGTTATTAGGTATGTTTCCATAGTTTTCTTGGAAACAATCCAGATTTTACAAAGACTTTATATTTTTTTAAAAAATATATTTTAAATGAATAACTTCTGTCATGGAAAACACGATCACTGAGAACCAAATCAGTACATGAAATCCTATTTTGGAATGGCATACCTATTTGTTTAGTATCACAATTATGCATACTTTGATGCACAAAATATTATTACAGTAGATTTTAGAAACCAGGTTTCTTATAAACCTAAATAAGTTTACATCCAAAATTCTCTCTTGGTAATTTTATGGCCTCTGACTTTTTCCACTTCCTGTAAAGTTTTCCCACTCATTCTTTTTAGGCACATAAAAAATACCTGGCTATACAAGCACTGTCCTGCCCACCTAGCAATTTGAAAGCAAGCAAATGTAAGTAGATAAATAGGTATCAGTTTGGCAAGAAGGTAACAGCATTCCGTGTGCCTCAGCATGTAATCACATGACCACAGAAATGGCTTCGGACAACACTGGATCCCTCCGCTAACAAATGGAGATGAGCACCTCCTAGAGTCGGACATGACTGGATGGGAAACCTTTACCTTTATACAAGCACTAATCACTTTGTTATCACTATGTGGGAGCTTGATCATAACACCTAACAGTGCTGTATATTTCCTGGCAAAACAAGAGATTGATATTTGCGTAGGTTTTCCCTATAGTTTCCTCATAATTTTTTTATCCAGAATCCATTGAAAAAAAATGTTTATGATGTCTTGGTGCAAAATTATTATAGACAGAGAAGTTTTGTTCACATCACTCACCTTCGGATGGCGCAACAAAAACCTGGCTGCCTCTTCAAAATATTCAAGATGGAAATCATCCATGACTTTTGGGAGATCCTCAAAATTAAAATATGGCAAGGAAAGAGCTGCAAAGCCATGGGTTGCCAGAAGGCTGGATCGGAATTCGATTAACCCACCTTCATCACCAAACATGTCTATCACACCTGGAAATGGACCGTTCCCTAGTAGGAGTAGATATTGATCAATTTTGTTGGGCCTGGACATTATTAGCAGGATTTTTTAAATTGCTTTTTTTTAATATTGAAATCCCTTTAACAAGCTCATTTTAAAAGTATTTTTGGTATGACTGCCATGGGTTAGAGAGTTCAGCACATGCTTAATCCCTAGTGTTATGGAAAGATTATTATTTCTGCTTGGAATTTGTCCAAGGCACCTGAGCTTTGCCCATCAACCGTGTGTGTATATAATATTGCATCTTGCCACAAATATCCCACTGCTTATTCCCATTTGATTGCCTCGACTGAGACTGCAAAAGCCCAGAATCAGTTGTCAAGCCTGGAGGAAATGCCTAATTTAGGAGAGCCTGAATCACCATAAGAAGGTTCTCTACTCACCTGGCGGAAGGAACAAGCTGCCTCTGATCGCACCTTCCTTCAACCTAATCCTTCTCACGCCAGGAAGAGTGAACCACCTTTCCACGATCGTTTGAGCAAGCACCTGTCCGGGGATGGCCCCAGGCTGACTATATTCCTGATGTACCGTGATCTGCACTTTCACGGGACTCTCCACGTCCTCGGGCTCCAGCCTTTGGTAAGGCTTCTCTATGGTAGCGGGGGAGAGGCTCCAAAACAGCCCCATGGGCTCAAGTCCGACATAGTCCCCTCCCCTAGAAACATCTTTGGACAGGTCTATTCCTCCCTGCTGGTCCGCTTGGTAATGTGCGCAGGCGTCGAAGAGGCTGCCCTGCCCGTTCGCTACTAGCGTCCGGAGCGTCACTCCCTGCAAAGGCGCCAGCCCTTCGATCGTCATTTTCGCGGGCCGATCTGCCAAGCCTACAGCGGGAGTGACTGACAACGTTACCAGTCCTCTTCGGCCGTAGCTTTTCGGAATGATCCTCTTCAAAGGGTGACCAGGCCCACGCAAGAATACCAGGCGGAAGCCCCACGCTTTGCCCATGACTCTTTGCCACATGATGGGCTGCCGGAACTTCTTGCACTATTCGCTGAGCGTCGGAACTAGAAGCAAAAAGCCTGGTACCCTTCTCTTCAGTCAGATACTCCGGGTTAAGACGCGAGAGACTGTACCAATCGATTGCAGAGATCACGCTTCCGAAACGGGGAGTACAAGGTCGGATTTGGATGCAAGAGCCGTAGTCAAAACTTTTGACTGGTGGAATTACAGTAATTGAGGCGTCTTAGCAAGTGTTAGTAATTTATTTCACTTGAAACATTTCACCGTCAGCGGGAAAAAACGTATGCGTGCTGAATCTCACATATTTGGATCTGCAAATACTTAAATTTCTTGAACTTCTAAACTCATTTTAAGTTAGCAGCAGCATGTATGCTATCTTATTTTAACAAATGCAATGAAACTTGATAACAATTACAATTTAAAAGCAAGGTAAGAAGAATTTAGTGCAGTTGAAAAAAGGAGTTTCTAAATTGGTCTGCAGGTGGCTGGGGCTTTGAACTTGATTTGTGTACATGGTCTCTCCCCCCCCCAACCCCAACCCCCACCATGGATCCCAGGACTTTCCTCTGGTGTTTGTCTTGAACTATATATTTCACACTATATGTCTTAAGGTTTTCTATGAGGCTTTCCATATAAACTTTGCCCACAACCCAGGGTCACTGTAGTAAGGGGTGGCTGTATAGATTTAAATAAACCAATAAATCAAAATCACACTGTTGTGGCCACCATCTGGTGCTACCACCTTATGCAGATCCCAATCTTCAGAACTTTAATACAGAATGCAGAAACAATATTTGAAGGCTAGATAAAAAATGTTCAAATGGGCTTCATTACCTAGGAGTTTGCTTCTTCTTGCCCCCATTTCATATCCATTCCCAGCTTTATTCTCCCATCCCCAGTATTTAGCTTAGCAAACATACGTGCTGAATCACAGCTCATAATACATTTACAATTTGTTCTGGCTGCTGTTGAGGGTTTCGTGAAAGAAGTTTTGAATCTGCTTCCAAGCATCCACCTGCGCTGCTGCGTGTGCTCTGGGTTCCCCTCCCCAGACCACTGTTTTGCCCACCAAAAAGTGGACTGAAGCAGGACACAGTGGTGTATAAGGAGGTTCAATGTAATGACCTGTTTCAGGATAGCAAATGATCCTAGGCTTGTCTTTTCCATGAGCTTGTAAACAATTGGCAGCTTCCTTGGCAAAAAATTCACTCTTCCAGTTATGATCGTCCATGCCCACAATAAAAAGAAAGCATCCCTCAGCTTTCTCCAATGGAATTAAGCTTTGGCGGTCGGGACCTTCAAGTGGGTTATTCAGGACATCAATAATGTCAAAGATCCCATTCTGATCAATTTTGATTCGACTTGCATTAATGCCAAGAGGTGGAATGGTGATATTCTTGTAGCGTAGTGTTGCACCTACATTGGCTATAGAACCATTAACTGTGACTATTGCAGTGATGCCTTTTAAAAATGAGGCCATGGAAATACAGAGGTCACCCCCTTTGGAGTGTCCCAACAGCCCAATTCCTGGACCTTTAACCTAAAAAGAAGGAAAGAAAGGAAAATCAGATACTACCATATGCTGTTCTATGTTCATATACCAACCCTAAATGAATAACCAGATGAATGTTATTAAGCACAGCTTATTATGGTTTAATCAATCAGCCCCTCCTTAAGCAAACCAGAAGTATGTGTTATGCAGACACAGCCTCTAGGAAAATAATCCATGCTATTTCACTTTCTGTTACAGTAGTTGCCTAGAGCTTTCATGCTTCAGTTAATCTTGCACCCCTTTGGCTGCCCCAAATGGAAAGAAATGAGTTGTTAAGGCCCTTAAACTTTCCATGATCTATTTCAGGAACATAGCACAAAAAGTTCAACATGTTGAAACCATACAGTAACGAAGTTAATTTCACAGAATTAACCACACTGACACTTCTAGCTTTAAAAAAAAATACTGAGCCTTTAACTGATAACACTAGTTGAAGTAACTTATATATTAAGCAACGTGCTGAGCTAATATATGGATAGATTTTGCTGCTAATCATGATATTTCTTTTCAACTGATTATGGATAGTTTTTATATATTTATATATTGGAAGTTCTGACTTAGAGAACACTATTTTATTTATTTATTTAGAAATTTATTTGCCACCCATCCCATGTCCAATGACTCTGGATGGCCTACAGCAGGGGTAGGTAACCTTGGCTCTTTTATGACTCATAGACTTCAACTCCCAGAATTCCTGAGCCAGCATGGCTGGCTCAGGAATTCTGGGAGTTGAAGTCCAAGAGTCATAATAGTCCCATTTCTTCTTGTGGCCGTTTGGGAAAATTAATTGCCCACCTCTGATCTAGGATAACATGGCAGTATACACAGTACTCCCCCCTCCAATTTTCCCTTTGACAGTCATCTTCACTGGATAGCTGAGCTGAGTCTGACCCCAGTTGATTGAATACATTTCTGCGGCTAAAAAACTGAGATCTCAGCTAAATCTTTTTGCAAAGGCCATGAATATAACAACCTACCACTGGGTGTTTCAGCATATAATTGACAGCTTCTTCAAAGTACTCCAGATGAAATTCCTTCATGTCCTTAGGAAGATCTTCATACCCATAATAGGCCAAAGCTAATATGGCAAAGCCATGATTGGCCATCAGACATGCTGAACTTTCTGGAATCCCTCCTCCAGTTCCAGGTATATGAATGATACCTGGAAAAGGGCCTTTACCTGCCAGAGATATAAAATAGAGCAGTTGTTTTTAGTTATATTTCTTAAGAACTTAGCATATTTTAAATAAAGTCCTGCATCAAAGATAAAGCAAAAAAAAAAAGATACATGGCTTGATTCATACAATCTGCCAAGCTACCACATGGTTTTTTGTTTTCGCTTATTCTGTCACATGAAGCTAGTCACTGTGATTTGGAAATCAGAATCTATGGCTAAGCATGTAATGAAATCTAGTCAGTAGTAGTTAATAATCCTCTATTAAATCACCCATTTAATACAGAGAACATAAAGGCTGGGTATGCAGAATGCATTGCCTGTGTCTAAATTACAGATCTCATGCCCAATATAATTATGGTGTATTCCACTGATCTTATTTTCAGAAATCATAGAGCCAATTTGCTGTAGAGGTTGAAGGCACCAGAGTACTAACTGGGGGACTCTGTTTTCTAAGCCTCTCTTGGGAACACAACCAGCTTGGTGACCTTGGGCCAGTCACTCTCTCTCAACCCCAGGAAGAAGGCAGTCATTTCCAACAATGGTGTCCAGAAACTGCAGAGATTAGTCCAGGGCCACGCAATCACTTATAGCCAAGATTGGCTTGAAGGCATACTAAAAATAGTAATTACGCCTAAATCAGTTTTATTTCCGGAATTCATATAAGACACTAGAATAAAATATGGTTGCATTCAGGTTGTGATTCAGTGAGTTCTATAAACATTGGGTAAATATATGGACATTAATCACAACCAGACTGAGTTTGCACAACGCACAGAATCGCAACAGGTTCAGCAGGTCTGATTACTTATAGCTCAATTCAGCGTGACTGTGAGAAGCCCAAAACCGCTGAAATTGCTCTTGAAATCGCTCTTGACTGATCCTGCGGGACATGAGTGTATTAATAGGGTGATTTTCTGCAGGAAGGTACCCGCTGTTTACCGGGAGGCTGGAACAGAGTGGCCCGGATGCTCCCTTCCCGTACCGGGATTCTCTTCACCCCGTCGCCCAGGAATCTCCGATCGTGGGAGCCCTTGGCCAAGACGCTACCCGACAGAGACTCTCCCTGCCTTTCCAGCACCTCCAGCTCCAGGCGAAAGGGCCGCTCGACGTCGCGCTTCACCAGGCGCCGGAGGGGCTTTAGCGGCTGCAGCGCCCACAGCAGCCCCATCGGCTCCAAACCGGAGAAGGTCCCGCCCTCGAGCGCCGGCGAGCGCTGCAGATCCAGGCGGCCCTCGCCGTCTGCTCGGTAGAAGGCGCGCGACTCGAAGCGCTCGCCCCTCTCATCTTCCAGCGACGCGCGGAGGCCGACCTCCTGCTCGGGCCGGAGCCCTTCCACCGAGATAGCCAGCGGCTGATCGAAGAGGCTGTGGTCGGGGGGAGAAAAGCTGAGGCGAGGCTCCATGAGACAAGCCGAGACGGAAAAGCGGGCTCGCTGGTCCCGCCGGCTCCACCAACCGCCGCAATTCACAATGGAAGTCCTTCGCGGGCAGTGACTCAAGCAGATCCGTAACATCCTGGTCGTTAGGAAGGGCACGCCCCTTACCACCGCGACTCTCAGGCTAAATTTACCCCTCTGAATTTCTGTACCAAGCAAAACAAGACTGAGCTGCCGATCGAGTTTTCGCTGCCCTAGGTCGGCGACGAGCCTGGTCTTGCTTCTTCCGCGTTGTACTCTGACTCCTCCTCTCGCGTTCTTCGGGTTTGGTAATTTGGCGAATCGGAGTCCGACCTTTATATCTTTCTTTTTCTTTGACTTCTTCTTTGTTGATCTATAATTGTAATCATATATTAAAAACACTGACAATATTGTAGTTTCAGGATAGGAAACGCTACTATTTTTTGCTGAACTTGATCCAGGGGTAGGCAATCTTGACTCTTTTATGACTCGTGGACTTCAAACTCCCAGAATTCCTGAGCCAGTCATAAAAGAGCCAAGGTTGCCTACCCCTAGCATAGTCAGAATGAACAAATGGATGGGAATGGGATATTATTTCTTTCGGTCTTACACAAATGTAGTTGCAGAGAAGTTCCACTGAACTTCCTGGACTTCACTGCTATATAGATATGCAATTATATTGTTCTGGCACACTCAGATAAGTGTGTTTTAGAATAGACCAGCCGTGTTTTAAAAATCTTTAGAACTTGCAATACAACTCAGCAATTGATCTACACCAGTGCTTCTGAACTTTTAAGATGTGTGGACTTCAATTCCCAATATTAATGTAAGTATAGCTTATAAAGGAAAAAAGATTAGGTTGTTTTTTTGGGTACAGAAATCTAAAACTTTTTAACCTCGTCTGCAACTCCATTACAGTGAGTAAATGCATAAGGTTAAAATACAGACTGTCCCCAAAGTTTTACTGAAGTTGTAGAAGTTATTTTGGCCATTTTTATGGAAAGTTCCTTCCTTGCCTTAAGTATTTGTGCTTGTAGCTCAGATTGATGTTTGATGCAGCAGATATATTAGCAAAGAATAAACTGAATTCTGAACAATGAGTTACTGTCTTAAGCATTCTCTAGGGCTCAAAAAATAAGTGAATAAGTTTTCACTTAGTTTTAAGCACTTGTTATGTATTTTTTTCTAATATATATACTTTTGTGTCTTGTTTCTTTGGGGATATTTTTTCTGTTATTTTAAAAAGAAAAATAAATTTTAAAAAGCCTTCTCTAGGATCTTCCTCATTTGACCCTAACCATGGTAGATGTTTTAATTATTGCTTTATTAGGGCACATCCTCACAGCATTATAGCTGTCTGCAGCAAATCAAGACTTTATCAAAATGATGATACACACAATTATTTGTGATTAAACTTCATGCGACATTTGATGCAAGTGTATAAATCATGATTTTTGGATCATGCTACCATGGCACATATTTAATTTCAATTGTCTCCTCCCTAACCTATCTTCCTATCTTCACTTTGACAGTAAGAGAGAGCAGACTTCTGCTTTGTAGAAACATCGGTTTCTGACCAGCATTTTCCATTTTTTTTACTACTTTTATCCTGTGGGTTTGTGTACAAGTGGTAGAACGTCCTCCTGTTTGGTTAACAAGCCTGGGACCCTAATTATACAGTTGGCTATTCATGCACTGAATTCTAGTTACTTATGTGCCTTGGGGGAACTATACAATTTTACCTTCATTCCAACTTCGGTGACACTATCACTACATTTGTGCAGTACTGAAAGTCGGTTCTAACCCATGTGCTCCCCATGGCTACCCAGAGCTATTTCTGCATCTGCCAGTCAACTGGACTTCTTGGTTGCTCGCAGTCCGTGTTGCCATCTCTGCTTGCTTTCTGCGATTCCCCATTTAACTTTCTGCCACCCTCCACATTTTTTAACTTGTCAAACTACCTTTGAGCATGAGTTTAGTCCTTTTTCAAAAGAGCATGTAATCCTTGTTCAAAAATACCATGGCTGGCAGGCTAAAAGTACAAAGGAAGAATTGTTCTGAGCAGGAGCACTGGAAAAGCTCCTTATTTAAGTCTAAGGTGGTTTGGGAATAATTAAATAGGCGCTCAAGAATCCAAGGACTTCTGATAATGAATTTTACTACAGACAAGATAAGCTATAACAAAGGGATTACACTTGAGTTCTGTGCATCAAAAATGGCTTCTTTTCAAAGCTGGGCATTTTAGTCCTTTTTTTCCACCCACACTATGTAATGGACAGTTCAGCTGTCTCTTTTGGGTTGGAGGCCTGGTGCCATCTGCCTTTTCTTGGGAATGGTTAGTGATACCAGGCTATTTTCCACTGATAGTATGTGACTATTGATGGTAAATGTGGTTCCATTCTATGAAACTTCAGAGTCAATTCTTTGGATCTCTGAGGTAGGCTTCTGCAATCTCAAAGCACATGTAAACAAACACAGTAAAGCAGAATGCAAAGAAACTTCCCAGTTCTGAATCTGCTTTCTGTAGACACTGGCTAGCATTTCTGCAAGCATTTCCAAGACAAATGCAGACAGAGTAATTAAAAAACTTTATGAAACTCTATGAACTTTCTTTTCTGATTCTCATCAAAATAGATAAACAGTCACAGTGTTATTAATAATTCATATTAATTTAATGTAGGGACTTAGAAATACTCATAATGGTAATGAATATTGTACAGTATCCTATTTAAAATATTATTGCCTCATCAAAGGTTTGTCTGTATCATTGTGACTGTGCCAGCCCACTATTTTATTTTTTTGTATCCTGCCTTTATCATCTTTACAAATAACCCAGGATGGTGAACATAACCCAACACATGTTCCTCTTCCTATTTTCCCCACAAGAAATGAGATACAAGCCAGACCAATACAAAAACAACTGCACTGAAAGCTAAAATTCTTTTTATTAATATTAGTTATCATAACAGAATCTTGAAGTCTGATTATGCTTTATATTCTTGCCCCTATCCCTATTCACGTGAATTAGGAGGTATCTGTCTGAATCTTTCTTACTCTCTATGGAATGACATCTTGACTTTCTTGAGCATACCCTGGAGACAGACGAATTAATGAATTTTCCTTATGTACATAAATTAGCAGCATATGCCCACAGTGTCTACAGCAGCGGTTCTCAACCTGTGGGTTGGGACCCCATTTGGGGTCGAACGACCATTTCACAGGGGTCGCCAAACAACGCAGTCCGCCATTTTTTTCCCCTTTTCCTTAGCTGTACTACTCCGTTTTATTCTGTTGGCTTTTGAAAGCCAATAGAATAGACTCTCTTGAATAGAGTCTAATTCTATTGGCTTTCAAAAACCAATAGGAATTGTCCAGGCTGTCTCTGCCCTGCTGAGCCCGCCAAAAGTCCCATTCTGCAAACAGTGCTGCAAGTTGTCTGCAGCGAAGGCAAGCTGTCTGGAAGTTTCCACCCCTTCCTGCTGAGCAACTACTAAAAATGTAAGTAAAAGAGGGCCAGGGGTGGGAGGTGGGAGGCTGGCGGGCACAGGGAGGGTTGCTGGTGCGTGTGGGGCCCGGCAGATGCCTTACCTCCCTTGGGCTGGGCCAGCTGGTGGCCCAGCTGGTGGTCGGCCTGCGCCATCTCTGCCGCTTGCCAGCTATGCCTCGGCCGGCGCAGGGGGCGGCACCACGCATGCGCAGTGCTCCCGGGCAGGGAAAGTACTCAACTTACAACCAGTTGGGTAGTCCTCGACTTACGACGGGTTGGGTAGTCCTCGACTTACAATCGGTTGGGGGTCGCGGCATTAAAAAGGTTGAGAACCACTGGTCTACAGCCTACTTGTGCTGAGAGCCTCAGCAATGAAGCTGGACAGTGCTGCTACATTCACACAATGTAAAAGTCTTTTATTGTTACAAATTGTCAGCACAGGCACAACGGAGGGATGCTAGGATCTAAGTTCTCTTCCTCTGAGCAGTTAAATTATCAGCATGTTCCCTCCCTAAATTAGCCGTCATATCTCACACTATCCAATTAGTGTGAAGGTCAAATGTTTTCTTCCTCTTTCTTTCCCGGGCTTTACCCCCAGCGCCCCTTCTGCTCTTTATTAACTCCATATTTACCAGACAATTCTGCATATTGTCAAAAGCAAGAATATACAATATTTGCAGCGTTGACATCGGGCAGGTAAAATCCTCGACTTATGACCGGTTGGGTAGTCCTCGACTTACTACCGGTTGGGTAGTCCTCAACTTACGACCGGTTGGGGGTCGCGGCATTAAAAAGGTTGAGAACCACTGGTCTACAGCCTACTTGTGCTGAGACCCTCAGCAATGAAGCTGGACAGTGCTGCTACATTCACACAATATATAGTATCTGGCAATTTCAGGCTATACCAATTGATGGATTCCCTGCTGTCTTTTTCCCTCCCGCCCAACATTGCCAACCAGTAGGAAATCCAGCTACCAACTGTTTTCCTGAATCTGTGGCAAGGCAAAACTCAAGGTTCAAGCCTTAATTCATACTACTTATTATTTAAACCTATTATTTATTATTTCATATCTTACATATGAATGTTGTTAATGCTATTCCATCGCTGATGAACAAACATCTGTTCAGAAAGGCAGAACTGGAATGAGAAGGTAATCTTTATAACTTTGTGTGCAGGACATTAGTATTAGTATTTATTGTGAGTAATTTAGTTGGAACCTATTGTATTTAGTTTTATTTGTGGAAAAAAAATCAATAGAACTTTCTTTTCAGTAAGCATGTATCAGTCAGTTTATTACGGTATTAGACAATACAAACAATGTCAAAGAGTGCTTTGTAAGCCCTTATAAATCTATCTTAATAAGCAGTAAATAAAATCTAAGTCAAACTTAAAATATATTTATAAAATGATGAGAATCCATAAGTGATGTCTAAAAGGAGCAAGTTATGTCTAAGTTATAAAGTAGTCTCTAAAATTATATGAAATAGGATAGCATCTAAAATTACAAAATGTGACAGTATCTAAAATTTAAGTAAAACATTATAACATGTAACATTACTTTAAAAAGATAATATCTAAGATTACATAACACACATCTATCCATGGGAACCTGGCCCATCATGGTCTGGCAGCTGTTCCTGCTGCTGCGCAAAAGCTAGCTAGCCACATGTACTGTAATAAGATGCAGCTCTTCTATGAGCAGCATCCTGGCATAGGCTGAGTCTGAGCTACTATAATATCTGCTAGTCAGAGGGAGGATAAATCAGGTTCTGTGTACAAGGAACAATGAAGAAGAAACACTCTGTGATTTCTGCTCTTCAAAATCACAGGAGCAATGGTCCTGCCAATAATCCTTTTTAAAATTTGCCATCCAATATTCAGAGGAAAGAGCATGATTGAGCAAAAGAAAGCTTTCCAATGGCCAGTGCTTCGAGTTGTGCAGCTAGTTGGCAGCAGAGACAATATATTTCTTGAATGCTGATGACAAAGGCTGTGGCCTTCCCTAGTCTGCCTATTGCTCCCCATCTTTTATTCTTTTCTTCAAGGTTTGTTTTGCCTTTTCAAATTTGATCTTAAGAACCAAGGAGGAGAGAGACCCAGATTTAGAAGTTTAGATTCAACAGGCTTAATCCAGGTAGTAGATTGAAAGCTGACTTGGAGAATTAATGATGCTAGGCCTTGAAGATAAAAGTTAAGCTTTAACCAACGTTTTATGGAAGCAAGACACACTCGTTTCAACTTTTGCCATACCTGTCTCCAGTTATAAGCATTTGAGAGTCAGCAAGGTATCTGGAGAGTTGGTCTCATGAATTTGATCTCAAATCTTTATCTACAACTGGGGACAAGTGTGGCAAAAAAATGAGAGTGTGTCTTGCTTTCCTAAAACTTTATGGAAATCTTATGCTAATACAATGGAACTTGATAAGAATTAAAAAAATAAGAAAAAAGTTAAAAGCAATATAATAAAAATTGAGACAGAGCAAACTTGAAAAAAGGGAAAGTTTATAAATTGGACTACACAAAGAACTTACCCAGTTGCATCAGCTATATAGTACAATGTTAGTAATAGATAATTTAAATTTTCTGCAAAATAGTTGTATTATTTTGGATGCTGTATAAATTGAAATAAAGCAGTAAACCGATAAATCAAAATCACACTATTGTAACCACCATCTAGTATTATCATTTGAGCCTTTACTTGCAAGAGTTATAAAGTAGAACAGTTGTTTTTAGTTAGATTTCTTAAGAACTTAGCATACTAAACAAAGTCTTGCATCAGAGATAAAGCATGAAAGGGCACATGGCTTGATTCATACAACCCGCCAAGCTACAACATGGTTTCTCTGTTTTAGCTTATTCTGTCAGATCTCAGATCTAATGTAATTATGGTGTATCTCACTGATCTTATTTTCAGAAATCATAGAGCCAATTTGCTGTAGAGGTTGAAGACACCAGAGTACTAACTGGGGGACTTTGTTTTCTAAACCTCTCTTGGGAACACAGCCAGCTTGGTGACCTTGGGCCAGTCACTCTCTCTCAACCCCAGGAAGAAGGCAGCCATTTCCAACAATGTTGTCCAGAAACTGCAGGGATTAATCCAGGGCCAAGCAAACACTTAGAGCTAAGATTGGCTTGAAGGCATACTAAAAATAGTAAAATTATGCCTAATTCGATTTCCAGAATTCATATGACACACTAGGATAAAATATGGTTGCATTCAGGTTGTGATTTAGTATGTTCTGTAAACATTGGGTAAATATATGAACATTAATCACAACCAGACTGAGTTTGTACAATGCACAGAATCGCAACAGGTTCAGCAGGTCTGATTACTTATAGCTCAGTTCAGGGTGACTGTGAGAACCCAAAAACCGCTGAAATCGCTCTTGAAATTGCTCTTGGTTGATCCTGCGGGACATGAATGTATTAATAGGGTGATTTTCTTCAAGAAGGTCCCTGCTGTTTACCAGGAGGCTGGAACAGAGTGGCCCGGATGCTCCCTTCCCGCACTGGGATTCTCTTCACCTCGTCGCCCAGGAATCTCCGCTTGTGGGAGCCCTTGGCCAAGACGCCACCCAGCAGAGATGTTCCCTGCCTTTCCAACATCTCCAGCTCCAGACAAAAGGGCTGTTTGACGTCACGCTTCAACACCCCCCTCAAGTCTCTGCCCTA